CTGGAGATAGGCACCAGCTCCCCCACGACCCTACGTGGACAAATTGGGTTCAGACAATGGATGGATGGATCCTTATTTGTTTGTGTGATTCTTATTTGTTTGTGTGCTTCTCAATTTGTAGTTGTGTTTAGTGATTTGTTGGTGTGATTTGCACTTCAGGGCCACTGTAAGAATGTCAGTGTATCTTGTAGAAACCAGGCTAAACTGGAAAAAATAAATAAAATAAAAAGTTTAACACAATCAGTCGCCATTTTTGCCCACCCTTCAACACTCCTGTAATTCATTGTTGACATCCATCATGGCCAACCCACGTGATCAGTTGAGGTGACTTAAAAATCAAAATTTCACACTTATAAACCATGCAAATAATTAAAATACATAAAGTAATGCAATTTAACAAAATTAAATGGCTCTAAAATGGTTCCAAAAATTATTCTCACTTTATTATATTTTAGATAACCAATAATCAAGAAGATGTTTTTGAGAAGGACGAAGAAAAGGTTTCAAAGAATTTTAAGAAATTTTTAAAGCCTTTGTAGTTGATTTTTAACCATTTTTGGTCCACAAACATATTGTTACAAATTCAAAATTCATTAATTTAATGTTCAGTCAACCGAACTCGATGATGGGAGTTTTTATTTCAGCACATATGATAAAAACAACACGAACGAAAGAAGAAATATTTAAATTTGAACAAAATAAACTGGGGAATTTTCTTTTCATCAGGAAGCTCATCTCATAATCTATCAAATCATTAGAAAAACAACCGAGTCGACTAACCTGCTGCGAAAATCCCCAATCTTTAACATGTTTACTCAACATCCTCCAGAAAAATGCCTGTTAAATAAACACCTCAGCTTTTTTTTTGTTTATTCTGAAAAGATGAGTTTTCCTTTGAAAGATTAATTCTACCACAGCTAAATATTAAAATCTAAAAAAATGAAGTGTTTTGATTAAGTTTGGCTAAAAAAATATTCCACCTCTAAGTGAAATTTAGTTTGTTGCCAAATTCCTAGGAGTTAAATAAGTGGGAAAAAGCATTCTGTAACCAGCACAGCCATTCTCCTAATCTGGCAGTATTCTGTTAGCTTTAGCTTAGCATAAACAGTGTAGGTGAATAGTAACAACTAGCATCTTGTGTGAAAAAGTCATGAAAATTACTCAATAATGATCTAAATTTTCTTGGTGACCTCAATAATCACACTGACCGCAAATGAAAATAAGTAACATGGAGAAATTAGAGGGGTCGATTTAGATTTGGGAATAAATTACGACAAAGCGGTGAGCAACCGCTTTAAGGCAAGAGGACTAAAAAGTCACCTACTTCTGTAAAAACAAATGCATTAGCTGCGTTGAGTTTTTACTGCCGTAGTTTGGATACATTCTCTAATGCAAGAAAATGGTTCTTGCTTGTGAAGCAAAGTGTTGTGAGAACATACAGCAACACAACGTTTCACAGAATTCCATCAAATGTGGTACGAAGAAGATAGCGGCTTGCTGCCCTGGGAAGCCCTCCAACACCTGTGGAGAAAATAAATCAATATCTGGTTTGCGAGGAGCGTGTCACCACAGAGCATTTTAAAGAAAAAAATTAAGATTATTGAGTATGTTTAATTAGTTTTTTTCACACGAAATGCTAGCTGTTACCATTTACTTACATTGTTTATGCTAAGCTAAAGCTAATGGACTTCTTCCAGATTAGAGCCCTTTTCAGATTGACATTCTGGAATATGTGTGGACAATTCAGTCCGGTTTTTAACCAGAACTGTGTTTTCAGACACACCACTTTTGTACCGGACCTTGGGGGGGATCGGATGGCGCGCTCAATGGTAAAAGGAATCACGGAAGCGGTGTGATGCGCTCCGTCGCGCGTCTAGACGGTACCGTAGGAGGCGAGCTGCCATGGTTTGCCGCATGCTACAGCAGCGGGCTATCTAGGTGTGCACAGCGTCCCCCGGTCCCCTCCTCCTCCCCCTCGTCCCTGTCCGGAACTCGACCTCACCAGTCTGAAGCAGCCACCTTGTCAGTAACATGTCCGGACCTGTTACTAGGGGCATCGTCCGGTTTAATTACGGAAAACGTTATCCGGATGTTTGTATTCAGACACAAAGGTCTTACGGACAGAGTCCTGAACATTTCCGTTTTTCATGGCCTGTCTGAAGGGGGCTTAGGAGAATGACTGGGGCTGACTTCTCTTGCTTATTCAACTCTGGGGAAAATGGGAACAGACTAAAGTTATTTTGGGGTGGAATATCCCTTTAAATATTCCTGAATCAGCAGTCAAGATGAAACCTAGGAACAGCAGCATACCTGTAAACGTGTGTTTAGCAGAAATTTGTGATGCTGGAATTTCCACCCCATTTCCTTTCTTCAACTCATAACTGAAACAGTTGATAAGGGCAAGCCCCGAGCCTCTTTCTACAGTAAAGTGCAGCAACATGCTGAAAAGCAAATGAGTGATGTTTGACCTCAAAGCTCCAGACTGAGCATCTGTGCAAAGTTTCGATGGGTTACGCTTTTTTTTTTCATGAGATGAACTTAAAAGGTGATCTGAGGACCAGGATAAAATCTGTTTTGATGAGTATTAGATTAAGTATTTGCATGTTTTTTCATTTTATTTTTACACATTTAACTGGAATGCACTCCTATAAATGTGTATACAACTAATGGCTTTCATAAAGTTTACCTTTTAAATGTATATCTTTAATATTCTATTTGCATCTGTGTAAATATCCCATTAAAATCACGCATGTGGAGTGGAGGCCGACCGATATGTTTTTTTTACGGCCGATACTGATTTTTAAAGAATTTGTTGCCGATGGCTGATATCTAAAGCCAATTATTATAAGAGCGATATATATACATCTTAGCAGCACATTGATTGTGAAAGACAACTGAACACTCACTGCGTGCAATATAAATTTAATAAATCAATAAATCTTTTAATAGTTATTGAACTTTAAATATAAAACAAACACAAAACATCTAAAAAAAATACGGTGCGTTGGGGTCCTTCTGGTCCTTTCTTCAGTCTAGTAGTGGCGGCAGTTGGCCACACCGCTGATGTTTTTTTTTAATTATTTGACTTTGTACAAGAAATTTGAAATTCATAAAATTGAAATGAACCAAAATAACTCGGCCGGTCGATATATCGGTCGGCCTCTAATGTGGAGTCTGCACATTTACAAAACAGGAGTGCACTTTTCACCCCCCCCCCCCCCCCCCCATATAACCCAAGTAAATTTGCACTAAAAGCTGGAAATGGGAACTTGCTTGAAGGAAGCATAAAGGAGAAGTCTTAGAAAACAAAACTGATTTTTTTTACTCAAAAGGAGGAAATAACTTTCTTTCAAAGGCAGCACCTCCGCAGGCCTTTCGCTACCTGCTGAGTCACAATAAATCACACCCTTTCAAGATTGAAACTATCTAGGAAGGAGACGACGAAAGAAATTTTAACACATACAACACCTTTAGTTGCTGAACCGTGTAAATGTAGATGAATATTTATGTTATCGGGGAGGAAGGAGGAGTAAATGTGGCTGAACTAGGCGATCAACAAGAGCTTTTACACTTCAGCTACTTTCATGAGGTTCAAAGCTGCACAACTTGTTACGTCAGGTCACCAGACTCTTCTTTAACAGCCAGCAGAGGTTTTTGGAGCACACCTGAATCCAAAGCCAGTAATAAATAAATGGACAGAACTGTTTATAGTCTGTCAGCATTCAGGGCTTCCCCAGCTGACCTTGCTAGCTGACAAAGCTGTGGGAAATCCCGACAGTAATACATGAAACTGATGGAACTGATAATATTGCCACTGTCTAAAGATAAGACTTTTTCCCTCAGAAATGCATGAACCTTTAGATCAAAGACCTAAAATTTCCCAAAATTCAGTCCCTTAAAGAGACTGTCAACAGAGACTCTACTCATTAAATCCTAATCACAGACCAATCAAAAGGAGTTTGATTTCTGTCAGAGTTATGGACCACAAGGTATTTCCCTATTTAGGTTTGGAGTTCTCCACCCATCAGTGCAGCATGTCATATGGGTTGAGATGTGATGACTGAAGGCCAAGCACATGACTGACACACCGTGCTAGTCATCAAGTCTTAAAATGACTTGTTGTGCACATTGTTGTCCTGAAACCGGGCAATCACATCACAATCTCATCACAGAGTAAAAGTAATCAGTCTGAATGCCTTCCGCTGCATAACAAATCCACCAAATCATCCTTTCTGTGGGGCTCTGGGGTTGCATTTCCCCCCTCATCCATTCACCCAATCACACAAAAGCTGAAATTATCTTGTTTTATTTGCACATGTTGCAAATCTTCAGCCCCCAGCGGTTCCTGCTGATAAAATGCAGATCAAGAGAGGTCATAGTCCACCAAACTAACTAAATCCAGATGTACCATGACCTTTAAAGTGTTGAGATGTGACGTTTAAAGTATTTATGGGATAAGAACGATGAACATAAGAACACAGTGTTCAAGCTGGATGCTGGGGATGTACGAATTAATAAAGGGACATTACTTTTATTTATTTTTCTATTTAGCCCTGGGGCATCTGAGTAGGTGTTGTGGTCACCTTGACACATAATCTCTAACATCCAAAAGCTCCATCAGCTCAAATAATAATGTCTGAATTCTCCGGGAGGCTTAGATTTCATGGTGTACTAATAAGAGTCCATTAAACATAATAGGACCCATATAAACGGAGGTAAAGGGTTTAATGACAAATTTGAAATAAAACGAGATAAAGACGCATAACCAGTAATCCTCTTGCTCCTATGAAGCTTTCCAAACAAGCAGGCTAAGAGAGGAGCTAGGCCCAGCGTTGTGTTCGCTCCGCTTTCCCCTAAACAAGCTACACAACAACACGGTAAACACGCCAAGACGCGTTTCCTTCAGAAATCAAATAAAGAACTAAGAACAAATCGTTATTTCAGCGCCATGCTTTGTAACATTTTTTGCTCCGGCGTTTGGTGTACCCTATTAAGCTTACCGGACAGTTCGTCTGGTTCCAGCCCGCTTTCGGTGTCGAGACCGCAGATGACGAAATAATCTGCGAACCGGGAGGAACCGGAGCTGAAGCCGGTGGTCATTTTGAGATTGGTCCGATGCTGCCCTTACCCATACGACAGGGAGCATATTAAAGGCACTCGGAGATGTGATTTCTCCCAGCCATTGCGTGAGTTACGTTAATGCGAGAGTCGGTCGAAAATCTCTCTACCGAGAATGCAGCAGCAACAGACATAGCATTTCCGCTCAGGCTCCTTCAGAATAAAGCACTAGCAGAGTCGTCATCCTTCAAAATAAAACCATGACAAAATAAAATGGTTTGGAAAAAAAACTATTAGTTCTTCATATTTATGTATTTATATAAAGACTTTACTTTAAACATATTTTATTGATTCGATGGTAGAAACATTTATTTCAGTGGTCAGACCCCATGCTTTTTGTTTTTAATTATTTGATTTATTGATGAACCAAAATAAATCAGATCAAGATTGATGTGAAGCTCTAATTCCGGGCCCTAGAAAGCCTAACAGATATGAAACCCACAGAGGCTTTGGTAATTAAATGCAGTAAGCAAATGACATTTTCTTTTGAAATGTATATAAATAAACACTTGCTCATTAAATATTCAAAATGTGCACACATGTAGTTATTTAATGACTGTTTATTATTCTCCTGAATAAAATCCATATAATTTAAAACACAATAGTTAACAAAGAATAGAATGTCTAACAACTAATGTTCAAAAAGCTCAGTAAAACTTGCATAGGGACAATATTCTGTTAAAATGTCATGAAATTGATTTTTAATCATAAACAGGTCATTGAACTCAGCATCACTATAAAAATCAACTTTTCAACTCAAGTTTTCATTTCACTCAAAAGGAAACTTTTAAGTGTCTTAAATGTTCAAATTAACCTGTTTATAAAAATATATCTTACTTGTAGAAAATATCCAAATGGTGCAAAACATTTTAAATAACAAATCTCGGTTTTGCAGGGACCTCACAATGTCACCACCTGGTGGCACAAGTTGTTCACTCTTATTTGGTAAAATCTGAACCGTTTCAAGTTAAATTGAACGAATGAGAACTTAGAATCAGTCAAATGTATTTTTTAAGTGTACTAAATGTCATGATTATAAAGAACCAGAGGAAACTCCATATTTGGGGAATCTTGTAATATTTGTAAAGCAAGTTCAACAAATAAATCACATTGTATGAAGCTCATTTTAATCAAATATAAAATATTCCTGGAAAAATAAAAATATTTTTTAACTGAATAATACGCCTTTGAAATATTCTTAAATCTTTGACTTTGAACCTTTGATGTTGATACTTAAAATGAATGGATTAAGATAGCATTCATTAATTCAGTGGACGGTTAAAACAGGGGAATTCAGTAACAGTAAATTACAAAAAATCTAATTGAACTAGATTTCTTAAAACCATAGATATTAAATGAATACTGTAGAATTTTACTACGCATCAAGTGCACAAGAGCCACCCTCTGATCCATCAAACATAAAACCCAAACAAGTGTGACAATGGTTTCAGTCTTGTACATAAATAAGTGTTTATATAATTAAAATAGCAACCTGAAAACTAGGTCATTAACTTTGTGGTTTCAAGACAAAACAGAAAACCCAAATTAAAGAGATCTTCAATAATTCTGTGGAACTGAAGTGCTGCAGAAATACCTCTTATAAGCAAAATATCATGAAATGACAACATGGAGAGAAAATGATCACACAGAAGCAAAAACTATACAGACATCGATAATTATCATCTCATTTAAACACGAAAGCATCCATCTCACCATTTCACTTCCATTTCCTCAACAGAAGATGTTCCATTTTACTTTTTGCCATCTTTTCTAAGCTTTAGGCAATTTATCCTTATGATTATTTTTTCAGTTGACACAATAAATATTCTACTTTTTTAAGTAAAAAAAAAAAAACCAGCAGGGGAAAAACAATCCAAGATGTTCTATCTAGACTTAACAGTGTTAGGACTTGTAACGAATCCTGCTTTAAGATTCACAAATAAACAAAAGAGGTGGGGGGGGGGGGGGGGGTATTGTGTGGTACATCAGTCGTTTGTCAAAATGTCTGTTTTAAAAACTAAATCTTCATTCAACAACAAAGCGACAATTATTGCTGTGTTGGTGCACTTACTTAAAAAGAAAACTACATATATTTAAATATACAGTGGGGCAAAAAAGTATTTAGTCAGCCACCGATTGTGCAAGTTCTCCCACTTAAAATGATGACAGAGGTCAGTAATTTACATCATAGGTACACTTCAACTGTGAGAGACAGAATGTGAAAAAAAATCCATGAATTCACATGGCAGAATTTTTAAAGAATTTATTTGTAAATCAGGGTGGAAAATAAGTATTTGGTCAATAACAAAAATTCAACTCAATACTTTGTAACATAACCTTTGTTGGCAATAACAGAGGTCAAACGATTACTATAGGTCTTTACCAGGTTTGCACACACAGTAGCTGGTATTTTGGCCCATTCCTCCATGCAGATCTTCTCGAGAGCAGTGATGTTTTGGGGCTGTCGCCGAGCAACACGGACTTTCAACTCCCTCCACAGATTTTCTATGGGGTTGAGGTCTGGAGACTGGCTAGGCCACTCCAGGACTTTCAAATGCTTCTTACGGAGCCACTCCTTTGTTGCCCGGGCGGTGTGTTTGGGATCATTGTCGTGTTGGAAGACCCAGCCACGTTTCATCTTCAAAGCTCTCACTGATGGAAGGAGGTTTTGGCTCAGAATCTCACGATACATGGCCCCATTCATTCTTTCCTTAACACGGATCAGTCGTCCTGTCCCCTTAGCAGAAAAACAGCCCCAAAGCATGATGTTCCCACCCCCATGCTTCACAGTAGGTACGGTGTTCTTGGGATGCAACTCCGTATTCTTCTTCCTCCAAACACTGCGAGTTGAGTTTATACCTAAAAGTTCTACTTTGGTTTCATCTGACCACATGAAATTCTCCCAATCCTCTGCTGTATCATCCATGTGCTCTCTGGCAAACTTCAGACGGGCCTGGGCATGCACTGGCTTCAGCAGCGGAACACGTCTTGCACTGCAGGATTTAATTCCCTGCCGTTGTAGTGTGTTACTGATGGTGACCTGTGTTACTGTGGTCCCAGCTCTCTGCAGGTCATTCACCAGGTCCCCCCATGTGGTTCTGGGATTCTTGCTCACCGTTCTCATGATCATTTTGACCCCACGGGATGAGATCTTGCGTGGAGCCCCAGATCGAGGGAGATTATCAGTGGTCTTGTATGTCTTCCATTTTCTGATAATTGCTCCCACAGTTGATTTTTTTCACACCAAGCTGCTTGCCTATTGTAGATTCACTCTTCCCAGTCTGGTGCAGGTCTACAATTCTTTTCCTGGTGTCCTTCGAAAGCTCTTTGGTCTTGGCCATAGTGGAGTTTGGAGTCTGACTGTTTGAGGCTGTGGACAGGTGTCTTTTATACAGATAATGAGTTCAAACAGGTGCCATTAATACAGGTAACGAGTGGAGGACAGAAAAGCTTCTTAAAGAAGACGTTACAGGTCTGTGAGAGCCAGAGATTTTCCTTGTTTGAAGTGACCAAATACTTATTTTCCACCTTGATTTACAAATAAATTCTTTAAAAATCCTGCCATGTGAATTCATGGATTTTTTTTTCACATTCTGTTTCTCACAGTTGAAGTGTACCTATGATGTAAATTACTGACCTCTGTCATCATTTTAAGTGGGAGAACTTGCACAATCGGTGGCTGACTAAATATTTTGCCCCACTGTAATTATTAAGAGGTTAGCGATTTAAAAGGGGCCACCAATAGGTGACCTTCACATGCTACAACTAAAGATAAGTAACCATTGCTGCAATTAGAGGACAGATGTTCACAACATCAGCAACACAGAAGGTATTGATGGCAGCGTTGTAGGAGTTTCTAAAAAAAAAATCTGATTTTTGCAAAAATAAAAAGCAGAACGAGCAAAAAACGTTGTATGCAACATAGAACTAAAACAGCCCCTTTATTGCTCTGAAAAGAATTGTAAGCTACTCTGCGGTTTAAATAGAAAAGTAAGTCTTATTTACAACATGTGCCTCAATAAAATATAAAAAAAAAAAATTGCACAAGCAACAGACAGTTTGTACTTCACCTAACGTGAGGAATAACCCACCACAGCATGCATTTTTCAGTCAGTGCTCGACATGCCATCGTCCAGAGATTCCTTCACCGACAGAGGAGCAGCTTCGGGGTCCGCTGCGTGCTCCTGAGCCAGCGGGGTCAGGTGCTGAGGTGTTCAAGAGTTCTACTCAAGTTTCTGCTGCAGCTTCTTCTGGAAACAGACGGGCAAGATGGAGAGCACGGCGAGTATGCCGAGCACAGCCAAGGAGTTCCAGGACACGGCTTCGCCGGCGGTGGTCAGCTTGTACAGTGTTGTGCCAGCATTGATGGCTACAAAGGATGGTGGCGCCACACCTGCGAGTTCACCAGGATGAACACAGGCGAGTCAGAAATCAGAAATAAGACCTTTAAGAGCAAATGACACCTAAATTACGTTTTTTTTCCTCTGATAACCTGTATAGGTGAGTGTCTAATGGTGCTGTACATGTGTAATCATTAGTGTGGCAGTTTAGTGCAACTTACTTTAAATTTAATATTTCAGCCCAAAACCGTAATTATATCTCCATCTTCAGGTTAAAACTCTGGTCCACATTCATGTAGAATCAGCTGTGGTTGATGGCTAAGCTGAAAAACGTGACCATGTCGGTAAATTACTATGTGGCTGCACAGCACTGCACTGGTCTCCAGGTGAGGCAACCGCACCTTCACCTGGCTCAGCCACTCACCTGCTGATCTGACACGTTGGCACTCTGAGCCACTCGCCTCCTTGAAAAAAATGCCCTCCTCCCCTTTGATCTAATGATCGAGGTTAACAGGAAATCCTCCAGAATGCTGCAGAATCTGTCTCCTCCTCTCCTGAGTGGTAGGTCTACAGAGTGTGTGTGCTTGAGTGCACGCGTGAGTGCGCACGTTCTCGTTAACAACTCGTTTTTAGACTGAAACTCTGTCTACCACTGCCTTTTTACCTTTAATCTCTGGAAATATCCATCAAAATGTTGTTGAAAATGAATTAAACGATGCCGAGTTGTTGAAAAAATAATGGTAGTTTTGTAACATAAAAATCTGGTCTAAGGTTACATTAACACTGCAGGCCTTGATGTTCAATTCTGATTATTTTTGAGTAAATCCGATTTTTTTTTTTTTGTGTGGCTGTTCATATTATGACTGAAACGCGACATCAAACTCTCTCCAGTGTGAACGCTTCACAGCCCCAAAGCGACCCGCATGCGCAGAAGACAAGAAGTCACACTCCGTGGAGTCGGAACCAGGAGAGGCGGAGTTGTGATGTGAAAGCCTTCACTGACAGTTCATCCACAGGATCAGGATCTCACCTGTCAAGTCTCCCGTTTTGGGTGAGAAACGGTTTTAAAAACTGTAAACTATTTTACTCCTTATTCCCACCGTCTTCCCGGATTATAATTCACCGAACCCCCCCCCCCCCCCCCCCCCCATGGAGACACTTCGCTCCAGCAGCACCTCCCACTCTCCTGCTTTTTTAACTCCAAAACTTGACAGGATGTCCAGGCAGACTCCTGAATCCTTCTGTGAGCGCTTCTCCTCAGCAACGTCAACACAAGACGCTCACCTCCAGTGATGTAGGTGACGGATTTAATGTGACATGACCGTTCAGACTGCAGTCGTGTTCAAAAACATCAGACATGTATCGGAATTGGCACCACATACGTAAGTGACCTGGATCGGATTTTTAAAAATCGAATCTGTGCTGTTCAGACTGTCATAAAAGAAAATCAGATATGGGTCACATTAGGGCTGGGTGATATGGCCTAAAATCAATATCACGATATATTGAGGATTTCACCTCGGTAACGATAAATGTACGATAACTACAAGTATGCGCAGAAACAAAAGTTGTCCAACTTGATAGGGCGGTCACATGTATTACGTTGAGTCACATTTCAATGTGACTCAAGGTGGTACAGCTTCTTAAAGGGACATGAACGTTGTCAACCTACACACATCTTTTCACTTTTTTATTATCAGATTTATTGACATGAGAAAAAAAATATCACGATGAGAGTCAGAAATTTTGCAAGCGGGGAAAAAAATGGATTTGATGCGCTTTTGCCTGAAGTAAGAATGTAGCCTTAAGGTTGGTTTATGCTTGACGCGTCCGCGAGGTCCGCACGGCTCCGCGCGGAAAAGTTGGGTCATTTTAACAACCACGCCCCTCCACCGTGCCTCCGCACGGCCCAGAATTTCCGCAACGTGCACCTCGGAAAATTTCTAACCACGCGGACGGACGGACGTGGAAAAACATGGTGGACCGGCAAGAACTAGTATGGCAGAGGTTCGTAAACACAGACATTTGTATGATTCAGCTCTCAGAGATCACCGTGATCAACATGTTGTTAATAATTCTTGGAGAGAAATAGCTCGCACTGTCGGAAAAGACGAGGACGCTGTTAAAAATGCTGGAATGCCATGTTGTAAACAGTAATTTCTACTTCTACTATGGTGTAGTGTTGGGTGCATGCCGTAGAGCTCCATGCGGCCCCCTACAGTTTGGGAGAATATTGACTCACCGCAGAGACGAGCCGCACAAACCATAAACGCTGCGAGTTGTGAAGCGCGTTCCATCCGCGAGCCGCATCACCGCGCGGAAAGTGAATGCGCCAAGCATAAACCAAACTTAAGTCTCTGGGCAACACCATGTTAGATGCCATGTTTCCTTCTACGGGAGCCCGCAAGGACAAAACACATTTACCGATTTGTAACAAACGGTTACAAAACTTTCACCATTCATAAACGTTGTTGTTTTACACATTTACCTCTTCACTCCAGTGATGAAAAGGAGACTGATGTGTGTCGTTTTGCTGGAAGTTGTGCTCCCAAGGATTTTGACCCTAATGACCATCCGTTGGTAAGGTCATACTCGAACACAAAAGTACCACTTGCTTGCTATCATTTAGGTTTGTGCTGCCCCCCATCACCAGGGAAAATACACATTGTCACTTTAATAAAAGAAGAGAGGACAAGATCTTACCAAGAAAGGTGCCGACAAAGAAAACCCCCAAAGGCACATTGATGACAGGGGAAGTGATGTTAATGAACCAGTTGGGAAGGAAGGGCGTTATCCTCAGGAAGATGATATAATTTATTAAATGATCTCTGTGTTTGTCAACCTGCCAGCAAAAAAGAAAGCCATTATGAAACATTGTGCACAGTAAAAACACAAAAACAGGTTTAGGGTTACATAACAGTGTCTTCCTCTAGAGGCGTGAGGAGTAAATTAACCTTTAGGCTGTAAAAGGGTCTAAATATAACCAGCCTGCCGTTCCACATCAATCAAAAGTGACTCATCGTTTTCTAGAGACTCACCTGCTGAGACCATTTCTGCGCTCTCTCTGTGAGGTATTTGTAGACCACAGGTCTGCCCACCAGATATGACAACATATAGCAGAAAGAAGCTCCAAGGCCAGAGCACTGCCAGACAAAAGACTGAAATTACTGGAGGGTTTGAAATTATGCAGAACGCATTTCAAGCTGAAACTACATTTTTAAAACCCACAAGAGAGGAAAAAGTACTTCATCCTCCTACATGACAAGGCAATTTAGTGTTAGGAAGCCATGATGAAACCACAGCAACATAACTGAAACGAGACGCAGAGTTTCGTGTTTTCACACGTAAACCACAACCCTCGTTTGCTCTGGTTTAAGGTTGGTTTCCACCAGTTTTTGCCAGATTTTTGTTTTACTAAAATGTCAAAGAAATATAAACTGAAAGAAGTGTTTAAAGGCATTCATCTCTTGCAAAATAAGCATGCAATTAAATCTTTAAAGACACCTAACGGGGCACTTGTTTTTGATTTTCTTACTTACCAAGCAGACTAAAAAGAGAGCCAAGGGGAAAGGGTAAAGGTACCCAGACAGGATGCTGAGGAAGATGGAGCCAGGAATAGCAAATGTTTGGAGGCTGACAGACGTGTTAAGGTGAGCAACTTTTTAAAAGCTGTTTCCACAAACTAAATTAAATTAAACAACATCTATTTGTTTTCTATTCTGATGGCTATTTAACTTCTTAATGAGACTCATTTGTAAAAGAAAAGGAACAAAAACGAAAACATGATGTACTCTTCTTTAAAAAGTTCCATCGTAATCATTTCATTTTGCTTTCTCCACCAAAAACATCTCTGCTGAATTCATTAGGCAACATAGGGAGCCGGAAGAATGAAAAACTTAATGCGAGTCACCGGCGCTGAAGGAGCTATTTTGTATTCTGCTTTGCCGTACGCCCTGGATCAAACATAAGTTGTACTTCAATTTAAATTTTTATCCTTGAGAGGCGCTATATAAAGATAGTTTTTTTTCTTTCTTAAAAGTAATGATGTGTTTTGACCACACCAGTCACGTACTTTGAGATTTATCAGCTTGTAAAGGTTTGTAATTAGCAGGTCTACAAAGTAAATATCAGTACGTCGCGTGTATGACATCACCACAGAATCTCCTCTCTCCTAGCGTAGCTGCTACTTACTAAATGGCCAGATTCAAGGTGGTTCTTTCCTCCTGAGGGAAGGACGAGCTTTTTTATCCTCTGCTTCTCTCTGTTTCTGGTTCAATGGCGTCAATTTGGTGATGCGCATTTGTAGTCCTGGACTTATTTTCACACAAAACCTAAAAGAACATTTGCCCCCGTTTGAAAATTAGTGCTTTCATAGCAGAATGTGTCTTTAAAAATGTGAAATCCATGGCACAGAACAGGATTAGAAAATTGCTTTTATTGACCTACTTGACTTGCATTCATTTTTTCCTTTTTCTGGGGACCCTTCATCCAGAAGTAGATGGGCATGACTTAAGCTTCCTACATACTCATTTTTTCTTCTAAATAAATTGCAAGGCTGGAAAAAAGCAAATATTCCACTTGAAAAATCAACACTCATGGCTGCTATGTAATGCTTTTGTTAGTTTTCATTGAAACAAGCTAAATTGTGCTTTTGCTAAAGATAAATACCAAGAAGTTGAAGCTTAATGATCATTTTTAAGCCTTGAAAGAAGGTTTTATAGGGCGTCTGAGTCACGCCCATCTACTTCCTGACCATGGGGTTTCTACTGCTGAAAAATGAATGGGAGTCTATGAGCCAATTATTTATTTTCTGATCCCGTTTGATATGTGCCATGGATTTAACATATGATGTCTGTGAATTTTATTCACCATTTCTTATTGTCTACAGGCAGCAAAAGTTATTTTAAGTTTTGTTTGAAAAGACGCAGCAGACTACAAAATGCCCGTCTCACCAAATTGATGCCATCAAAGGAGAAGACAAAGGGCTGCAAGTGTAGCAAGCTTTGCATCCTTCTTCTAGGACGCCAGTAGGAGCATTACATGTGGAGACAACCACTATAATCTGGCCATGTGGTTAGTAGCAGCTACGCTGGGGGAGAAGAGGTTCTGCTGTGACGTCTGATCTGTTATTTTAATTACAAATTTTTTACAGGCAAATGAATCTAAAATGACATCACAGACCGTCAAAACACACAATTATTTATCATTTAAAATGAAGTGCAACATCCAATATTAAATACTGAGCAAAGAGTCTGACCACTTAGGACCATGTGATATTTCTGTTTTTTTTTAAATTAAATAAATCAGCATAAATTTCTAAAACTGTCTTTTTTCTGTCAATATGGGATGCTGTGTGTACATTAATGAAGAAATAATTTATTTAATTGATTTTAGCAAATGGCTGCAATATAACAAAGAGCGAAAAATTAACAGGGGTCTGAATACTTTCCGTACCCACTGTATGTGTGTGAGACAAAAGCAGATTAGAAAATAGCTCTTATAGCTCCGTTCACTCTCATTCATTGTTCGAGGACCCGTTTGGCTGACCGGAAGAGGAGACTTAGGCTCCCTATACCGTTTATAATAAATGAGCTCAGTTGCTGCTAAAAGCAAACCATCACAGTAGGACAATTAGCATGACAAATTATGAATTTGTTTTCTCCAAGGATACAAAATATAGGTTGCAAAGTAGGCCACCAACACCTGGGTATAAAAAGTGTCTTTGTATTTGGACAACACTGTTCCCAAAGCTTTGGCATCATCCATGTCTTTGGGAATCTTGATTTTTTGCATTTCATCACTAGAAAAGGGAAAAAAAAGACAAAATATGTTAGTCGTTTACAAGAAATGTATAAAAAAAATTTAAAATGAAAGAAATGTGTTCCTTCTATGTTGTTGCTGCTCTAAATCAGACAGCGTGAGTCTAGTCTAGTAAATGAAGGCAGAAATTAGAAACAGCTTTGCTGCAAATGCAGAAGTTGAACTGTGCCGGCTGTGCTATTGCCGTTTCCACATCGGCCCAGTCCGGTCCGGGCTGGATGGCGTCGGGTCCTGAAACGGTAGGGTTTGTTCACACGCACTTCTCAGGAACATGTACCTACGAGCATGTGGTCAGGGTAAAAAACGCGCAGGAATCTACGGTGTCTCCTTTAAATTAAACTAAGGTGGTTGTGAGCAGCGTTGCTTTTGGAGACTTTGACTCTGGAATTGCATCCAGACTGCTGTGTCTGTCCTCTTGCAGGGCAGCTCAAAACTGGCAGCGCTGTGTGTGTGTGTATGTATGTGTATGTGTATGTGTATATGTGTGTGTGTGTGTGTGTGTGTGTGTGTGTGTGTGTGTGTGTGTGTGTGTGTGTGTGTGTGTGTGTGTGTGTGTGTGTGTGTGTGTGTGTGTGTGTGTGTGTGTGTGTGTGTGTGTGTGTGTGTGTGTGTGTGTGTGTGTGTGTGTGTGTGTGTGTGTTCCTCAGACATATGGCTTCAATTAGACATATGTTTACTCCTCACTATCGAGAATAGTAATGAATCATTCATGCAGGAAACCCTGCTGGCTGATTCTACCCGCCAATCGGGTTCCCCCTACTGGTAGGCGTGATTTTCAGCTGGCCAATCTGTTGGCACATTTCATCCCATTCATGCCTTGGAAAGAGAACTGAAAAAAATAAAAAAATAAAAAAATAAAAGGACAGTTGCACCCATAAAAAGCCCACGCTAGCTGGATGTGTACACTCCCTGCTGTATCTGGGTGGAGTGGAACCGGCGCTGGTGTGGAAGCCCTATATTTCTACTAAACTGCACGCATCAAATTCAAATTGCTAACACTAACATACAAAGTTCGAGATGGTACGGCTCCCATCTACCTGAATCCTCTTGCAAAGGCTTACGTCTCGGCCCGGCCGCTCCGATCATCACAGGATCGTCGGCAAGCAGTGCCTACACCACGCTCAGGACAATCCAGACTTCTCATGCATCATTCCACAAATGCGGAATGACCTTCCAAGCACTACCAGAACAGCGGCTTCCTTTTCAATTTTCAAGAAACTCCTGAAGACCCTGCTCTTCAGAGAGCATCTTCTAAACTAGCGCCCTCCCTGCACCCGTCCCCCTCTCTACCGTCCACTCCTTGTTCCCTCCTCTCCATGATTGATGTCAAATTGTTGTTATTGTTGTTGTTAGCCTCAAGGGCAACATGCCGATTATCACTTGTAAGTCGCTTTGGACAAAAGCGTCTGCTAAATAAATAAACATAAACTGTGTAGGTTTTACAGTAAATTATGCATTTGGATGTTATGGTAAATGGTAAATGCCCTGTATTTCTTCTATCGGAACAGCGCTGCTCTGGGCGGCTGCATGTTGGAGTAGCTCTGTTGACTATATGTAAGTTTAGCCTTTACTTGGGCATTTTTTCTTCTAGTTTCTCAAGAAAAACTGTACATTTTTGGACACCTTACTTTTCTGTTTCTGGTGCTGTGAAGCTTGGAGGTTTTTTACTGCTATTTTTTTTAGCTTTGTTCACTTTTTGAGCATTTGTTATGATGCGTAACCATGGCAACAAGCTGTTTACAATCGGGAGCAGCTGATTAACATTGGAAAGGCTGAAATAATACCTCAACTGAAGCCACAAATCCCAAATGAGCTAAAACGCAAGAAGCGTGGGTGCAGAGCGGGAGTGGGACGGAGACAGAGAAAGAGGAAATTCAAACCATCTCTTCCATCGATCATAATGGGCAATGTGAGATCACTGGCCAACAAGATGGAGGAACTCCAAGCCCTTTCAAGGACTCAGCCAGAGTATCGGCAGTTTCGGAACCGCTGGAGGAGATAATGCAAAGAAGGATTCTCCAGAGAATCAAGAAAATGATGGACAACCCTGAGCATTCTCTTCACAAGACTGTCCGACAACGGAAGAGTGTCTTCAGTCAGAGGCTTCTTCAGTTTCGCTGCAACACTGACCGCTACTGGAGATCCTTCCTGCCAACAGCCATTGTAATATACAACAACTCTTTGATGACTTGATTATTATTATTATTCTGAGCTACTACAGCAATCAATTTCCCTCTGGGATTAATAAAGTATTTTTGAATTTGAATTTGATATAGCGCCTTCTAGAGTCCTGGAACCCCCCAAAGCGCTTTACAACACAATCAGTCATTCACCCATTCACACATTCACACACTGGTGGGGATGAGCTACGATGTAGCCACAGCTGCCCTGGGGCGCACTGACAGAGGCGAGGCGGCCGAGCACTGGCGCCACCGGTCCCCTCCGGCCACCACCAGCAGGCAATGTGGGTTAAGTGTCTTGCCCAAGGACACGACGACAGCGACAGACTGAGCAGGGCTCGAACCTGCAACCTTCCGATTATGGGGCGAGCACTTAACTCCTGTGCCACCTTCACCCCAGATGTTGTTTACTGGACCCATTTTTGTCAAGTCAGTAATGGTCTCATTCAGTTGAAATGGAGTTATTTTTGCTAATCCACAAACCAGACTTACCCCCCCCCCCCACACACACACACACACTTTCTCTTTACTCTTTGTGAAACATTAGACATAAAGCACATGCTTTGCGTTAGCTTGGTGACCGGTTACCTTCAGAATGTGTTTAATCATTTTCTTTTTAACTGACAACATTTTTCAATAAACCATCCATCAGGTGAGTAAAAGAAAACTTGTGATGCTGCCTGGAGACTTGCTCAAAAATTGCTGACATTCTTTGTGATTTGATATTAGAGCCCAGAACCTAAACCCAAACAAGACCTAGCACCTTAAACACATAAACAGAAGACAAAAACAAAGAGTAAACGAGTGAAATTTGTTTGAGGAAAATATCACAAAGAATCTTATGACATCATCGACTCTCCAAAAAGGCATTTTTAAAGTTTTATAATTAAAAAAACAACTCACTCAGAGAGCTCTGGGAAGTTCCTGTAGACCAGATACATGACGAAGGCAGAGCAAGCAAAGATGGAAGCGAGAATCAACAGGGACATGCGCGTTGAGCCTCCGATACTATGCTGAGCCTCTGAGGGAGAAAACAATATTATTGACTCAATAGTTGGAATGTTTACTGTCAAATGAAAATATTGACAAATGAGCTCCCAGGGAATTTTGTGGAATGTGCTGCTGTGTTTTAGCCTAGGATCTAGACCGTCACTTGCCGAAGCAAAGTTATTTTGCTTTGCGTGTCGGTCTAGGCACATGCCACTGGAATCTTCACAGCCCTGGACAGTATTGTGGCTGGCCAATCAGCGCGCTTATTTAGAAAAACTGTTTTTTTAATGTTTTATGTCTTCTTCCACAATGTAATAGCAGACTACCCCAATGACTGACACCCATAGCGGTCCAATCACAGCGCCCTAGCCAAGTGGGAGGGATGTTACTGCAACTGAGTGAAACAAGCCGATGGCTCCGTAAAGGTCCAATCACACCTCTATTGGTTTGATGGGCCAATCACAGCCCTCTGTTGGTGGGTGGGATGTTACTGAAAAAACAAAGATGGTGAAGGCTCTTTTGAAAAGCTTTCCTGGGCTTTTCTTTGAGTCAAGAGCAGTCAGAGGTAGTTAACTTTATTTGGAAATGGGAAGTATTTGCATCTTCTTTGATGGAGAGTGGCGGACTGCCCCGCTGACTGATATAAATGTTGCTTTAAGGGCTTTCTGAGAGGGGACAGCTAAAAACAGACTAATTTTAAGTGTCGTAAAAAGATCACACAATAGTCTGAAGGTGTAATTTTGTTGTTTAGCTTTTATCAATCACTTGTTCTTCTCAGAGAAATTTGCACATCATGACGTTCAATCATCGATTGAAACTTTGCAGCATTTAATGGTTTGAAAAAGTCAAACAACGGCACACGACTAGGACAAAACCAGTATTAATTCTGCTTGTTACATTTAATTTAAAATAAAGCATTTCCACCCACTGATAGAAATCAAAAACTGTAACATTTCCTATTCAATGCCAAAACCAACAAGATAGGAAAACACTAACCAAGTTTTTTAATAGTAAAAAATATAACTATAATAATGTCCCTTAGTTTGTGTTAACTGTTGCATTATAACATTGAAAATATAGATTTCAGATCACTGCTGGACAAATACATATGGTAAATGTAAATTCAATTTACATGAAAGTTCCTCCCCACGTCTCACATATGACTGTCAGACACAACAAATCAAAGAAAGATTGGTGTTTATTCTTTCATCTAAAGGTTTTCAACCTAATTCCTTATTAGTTTCTTTTACTTCAATGTACAATAATAAATTGATGAGCAACTTTTGACAGAAATCTTATCTTCAGTTCAATAATTCTGACAGGAAAGGGCAAAGTTTAAAGTTTGACTCCATGAAGTAACTTAAGAACCGGTGGGAGATAAGTAAATACCACCATCTGTATTAACTTTAAGCAAGAAATACATGTGCTAAAGCATAAATATTGAAATTTTATAAACATTCCTTTTGATGCTGCAAGTGCAATTTTAATAAGTTCTTTGAATATTATAAATTGCTATCTTTGGTCAAGTTTAACACAAGCATTAACACATAATCACACTGTTTCAAGTCGTACATTTCATATGATAACCTATATTCAACTAAAAATATTTTTACTGAGCTAAATCTGGGGTATAATGTTTATTTGGAAACACTTAAGTGATGAACATTTTGAAAATATCTTCCATTTTGAAAAACAAAAACACTTTAAAATTGTAACTTTTGTGAAAATTAACTTTATATTTTCAGTTTTTACTTTTGTATTTGTTTCATAGTTGTTTTTCATAAAGTGACGTTTTTCTACATAAAATTACAAAGTGAGTTGTAAATCAGATAAATAAATACAGTTTCCGTTGTTCTTTAAAACAATTTCTATGAGGACAAATGCTATTTATACCTAATAAAATAGTAAAGATTGAGTGTAACTTGATTTATGTTATAATGGCCTACCATAAGCTAGGTTTTTAGCTTTGACATTATCAAGCTAACAATGAAGCAATGATTTCTACTAGCTGCTCTGGCTACCATTGGCTCCTCTTCTGGGATAGTAACCTTATTCCATGTAACAGTAAACTTCCCAGGACACTGTGTGACTCAATCAGTCCTCCAAATGTCAGTTTCTCTCCCATCTTCGTCACGTTTAGCCACAGTGATCTTACCTTTCAGAAGCTTCGAGTCTCTGTCACCGGACTTGACATCCGTCTCTACCGGCGACAACCCGTCTGTCTCCGATATTTCTCGCCGCTTTTTAGCCATTTTCGGAAATTTAATTGAGTTAATAAACAAATATAGCGAAGAGAAAGGCAGCAACACCCGGCATATAGCGATACCGGTGAAGCGATAGTCTACTGACACGTTTTACACAGACTGACCTTTACCCTTCACCCCCTCAGCAGCACACAATCCACGGCAGCGCCTCCTACAGGCAGTAAAAAAACTGTTCATTGTATAATTTTAATGCTCACAAAATGTTTTATACCAAGTGCATAGGATGAATCAGAGAATCAGAGATTATTGTGACTATTTGTTTTGTTTAGAATTTTTTTTTAATTTAAACATTTTCCACAAAAAGGGAAGCAAAAGACACACTGACACCAAAATGTACAAATTCACGCATGCACCCTGTAGTCTGTCTTTTTGTTGATGGGTGAGGGGGAATTCTGTGATCTATTTCAGTCTGTTTTCATAATAGATTAGATTGAGTTGTTTACAAATTTATGAACAAAGGCAGTTGGAGAACTAACTCAAAAGGGTATTGTAGATTTTTTTTAAATTAAGTTAAGGCCAAAGTAAAACAAAATATTTCTATGTGTTCTGAAGCAGCTAGGTTGATATTTTTTGTTGGTTATGTCAGAGAAAATCCAAACTTCTTCAAATGCCTAAATTACCCTTGGTCACAAAAATAAAAATACAAACATATTCAAATTAAATGAAATCTTATGCAAAGGTTGTGTTGACTTCAGAACAACGTATCTCTTACAGGTGCACTTTCTGCAGGATCAAAATTAGGTTTGTAGTTAATCAATAATATCAATTAGGTATAAATGATAGCTATCATGATTGGAATTCCTTGTATGTTTGGGGCTGAATTTCTGCAAATGGAGTAAGGGATTCACTCAGAATACTAATACAAGGTAATAATTATGCAATATTGATAAGGATGCTGAAACAGTCTTATCTATTGCAGAAGAACAAGCACAAATATACAACCAATCTTCATTGTGAAAATAAAGAAATTAAGCCAACCTGCATTCAAAATTTACGTTTTGAATGCTTTCAGAACATGTTTTTGTAAATAAATCAAGATTAGGATCATGTTCTTGTCAATTGATGATTGCATTTGTTTTGTCTTTTGTTCTTCAAATTGTTTGTTCTTTATCAGATTATCAAAAGTACTTGATTTACTATTTGTAAAGACAGTTTTTTTTCACATTTTTCAACTCTTGCACAATGCTGTACTTTTAATTAAGAAATCAGGATAAGTCTTTTTTGCACCGCTTCACAAGAAACTACAACTCCCATGGCATTATGGCTGCAGCCGGATGTTCGTAGTGAACAAATTTGGCGCTGATCTATCCGGGTACTTGGTTCACTGCTTCCTTTCGCGCCGGGTAACCGGAGAGCTGTGCGTCCATGTGCGCAGTGGCTGGGAATTGAAAGACCTCTGAAATACAAAAATCCGAGCCGTAAACAGAGCTTTCGAAATGGATGCGTTGATTGAGGCCCTTCGGGGAACAATGGACCCGAATCTGCGGGAGGCCGCAGAGCGACAGCTGAATGAGGTAAAAGTTGAGATCAACTGTTTTTGCGGTGATGTCACAGTGGTGGCGCGGTCCTGATTCGGGCCTCGGCCGTGCGCCCACAACAGAAAGATGGTGCGATCACGCAAGCTGGGCTCCGCTGGCTTTACATTGACAGACCAAGTGTGAAAAGTCTCCTTTGATGTAAATGGTCTTCTAGACATTTTCGCCACACCTTAAAACAACAAGAACTAAGTGGCGCTTTTTCAAATGGCGATGACACTCTCGTACCATAAATCGTCACTAGCTACATCTAAAACCAGCTGTGTTGCTAATGCTAAATATGCTAACCGTTTCTGTTTGCTGAACAGATTATACAATTCGTTTTAACACTATTTTATTTCAACTTGAGCCCATATGAACACGGAAACTACATCGAATGATATGGGTAGTTCGTCCAGTATGAAGTTAAACCGTCAAAATGAGGAGCAAGTCCTAGTTGTGGTATTCTACAGCAGGATGTATAGCTATGCGGCTAATGTCAGTCCGCTAACTTAGCGCCGCTACATAGCTGCTGCTCACGTGTCACTGTGATGTGCTGAGAATTGAACATTGTGTTTCAGAACAAAAATGCATCTTTTTTTCTAGGCAAATACTGTATGTCGTAGTTTTTTCGTTACTATCGTATCGTATAGTTTTTTACAGCTTCAAATAAAATGTTATCACATAGCTTAGAACCAGTTGAATTAAAGTTAACAAAAGTTAGCTAAGTTTGCACTTAGCCACCGGTTAGCTAGCGTTTAACCTTCCAATTTCTGTGAAATAAAGAAGTTTCATAAAATCTGGTGGTTGACTAAAGTATAACTGGGATCAAAACTTTAATTTGTGAAGTCTTAATGACTCAAGTGTTTTTCCAGTCATCACATCAACGCCCATTTCAAAAACTGGGATGGAAACTAGCCAGTTGTGCTTCTGCTTCAATTTTTTAATTTATTCTCCATAATTTTAGGGTTTATGTAAACGTATCAGTGTTTTAATGTGCTTGTATTAGCTGGTATTTTGAACCACTCCTTGTTTGTAGAAAAGTTGTGGCAGAAAATTCCACTGGATATTCTGGTCTGGCAGAATGAGTCTAAAAATGTTATTGTGTTATGAACAGTTTTAGATGCTTTCTGATCCATGTTATTTTTAGGGACTGGAGTAGAGTAGCGGAAGGTGAAGACTCTCACTGCCCAGTGTTTCTCCTCCATGATAATGAAGTGTTTGATCTGAGCTACTTTAAAGTTCCCTAGGTCATCCCTGTCTTGGAGATATCCATTTCAGAATTTCCTTGATGGTGAATGCCATTAAAGAGTGATACATCACCCAATTAAGAACTGAAAGCTTTGTCTTGGACTTATTTTACAAAACTGAGTCAAGAAACCAGATGCATCTAACATTCTTGTGCAGTCTGGAGCAGGACGAGGCAATGTAGATGGAAAACGAATCAATGACTGACATTGTAATGGTTTGCGGCGAGAGACTGGTTTGGCGTCGGGCTGTAATGGGTTAAAATTGTAGAGGAAAACACTGAGCAGAGCAGCTGTACTAGAGTATGATCAAAAACAGCTGTTCAAAGTGGTCAAATGGTTAAAAACGCACACACTCAAAAAAGTGTCCCTGTTTGATTTAAGACCTTAATCTGTGGTGTGCAGAGGTCCGAATGATGGTGACATCATAGATCTGGATCTTATTGCTAAAAATGCGGCATCCGGGTTACTGACTAGTACCAGGAGATGTGAACACATCATGCCTGTCTTGGCATCCCTACACTGGCTTCCAGTCTCCTTTAGAATTTCGTTTAAAGTTCTGTTGTTTGTTTTTAAATGTTTAAATGAGTTGGCACCACGATATCTATTGATCTGATCCATCCTTATGTTCCCTCGAGGAACCTTCGGTCAGCACAGCAAGGACTGCTGGTCGTTCCCAAACACCGACTAAAATCTCGAGGGGGGTCGTGCTTTCTCGGTACTGGGGCCGAGGCTCTGGAATGAGCTACCTACATGTGTCCAACAGGCCACCACGCTCGGCAATTTTAAGAGCCGTCTGAAAACACACTTTTATTCTTTGGCTTTTACTCAAGAGGAGTCTCGTTAATGGGTGGCTTTGCACTTTTTGCTCCCTCACCTAGATTTTATCCACATGTTTTTGTAGGTTTTTAAATGGTTTTATATGTTTTTATTTCTTTATGTTCATTTCTGTTGTGCAGCGCTTTGTTTGGTCCTTGGGCCATGTGAAGGTGCTATATAAATAAAGTTAAGTAGTAGTAGTAGTAAACAGGAGTTGTCCAAAATTTAGAAATCATGTCCATTGCTTATGTTTCTAGCCAGATTATCATTTTCAGTTAGAATGACAAGTAACCTTTATTCTTTATGGTAACTTCTAGAGTCTTAGACCCCCCCACCCCCCCAAAGGTGCTTTACATTACAATCACCCATTTACACACCCATTCACACCCTGGTGGGAAGAAGCTACAAAGTAGCCACAGCTGCCCTGGGGCACACTGACTGAGACAAAGCTGCTAAGCACAGGCGCCACGGGTCCCTTTGACCACCACCAGCAGTTAAAGTGTCTTGCGCAAGGACACAACGGCAGCATTCTCTGGCAGGAGCCAGGATCGATCCTACAACCTTCAGATAACTGGACAATCCACTCTACCTCCTGAGCTGCTGCTAGATTTTTTTTAGAAAAAATCTGTCTGCAAATTCAAAGCCCTTGATGTTCCACACTTCTTTGTTTGTTTCCAATACAAATTACAAATGTTCCTTTTTTTCCAACAGTTTCCATTAAATTAATAATTTGTATCCTTCCAAATGTTTAATGTGAGGCTCTATTCAAGTAGACAAACACCTGTGTGCTTGTTTCTGGCTTTGCTCAGCCTTCTATTTCTTCCACCCACATGTGTATTGATAGTGATGGTTCAGTTGGATGGCATAGCTGAGAGAATCCTCTAGCAGTTAGTTGGACCTTTCTTGTCTCTAGCTTAAATGAAATAAAAACATATCATGTAGACTGAATGTACAGTTTTAAGTTAAGGCTTAAAGGTGCAATATGTAAGAACTCTACAGTGAAATAATCACAAACCAGTCTCATTCTTCAGTCATGCCAGAAGGAAGATTACATTGAAACTGATTTCCTTCTCAGCCGGCTGGGGGGTTGTCAGTTCTCCTTTTAAAATGGTCAAAGACGGACGTAGGCACTGTTTAAAATCTGTTTGCTCGCGAGGTTATCGAGTATATGCTGGCTAACACAACAGCAATGGCATTAGTAATTCGAATCCGGCAGGTAAAAAGCTCTAGAGTTTTTTTTGAAGATCCAAAACTAATAAAATCAGCAGCCCAACGTTATTTCTTGTACTCCAGAGAAGCCACAGCATCTTTTTGTTTTTCCACTAAGGCTAAAGGCTTACATTGAGTCAACAATGCTACCGGTGAATTAGAAGCTAATGGTCGGCTCTAAAAATACCTCAAGCTACTTTTTTAATTGCCAACAAACTGATATACAGTTAAATGAATGTGTGAAGTGAATAACGATTCAAACGTGGCGTTTAGCTTTAATGAGTCATTCAGAACTACAACAGCAAGACGGAAAACAACAACCCTTCCTTTAATGCCAGACTATCGTAATGTACTACCGTAATGACCGTAGTATGTGCTCACTACCGTAAAACACCCAAGAGTGCTAACAACAAATATGACAATGTATCTACTTACCAACTTACTGGGTATGACTCGCTGTTGCTTGGCATCTAGAATCTTCTGGTGCTGCTGATCTGTAACTGTGAAACTCACTGGACCACCAGGAAATAGTAACTTTTTTCTTTGAATAATTGGCTGCAGTAAGCACATTTGATCACAGCGTGTTATTACTTCAGTCTTACAAATTGACCCCCATCCCCCAATATATATAACTAAAGACCCCACATCTTATCTATATGCGATTCAGAGCTGCTGAAAACACTATTTTAATACATCTGGTTTTCGTATGTTGATGACAATCAGCTGCTTTTGATTCTTTTCCAGGCTTACACACATGTAACCTTCATGTCCACTCTGCTGCAAATCACCATGTCCAATGACCTCGATTTGCCCGTCAGACAAGCAGGTAAGACTGACACTTTTTATTTGACTGTCACTAGCGTGCTCTTTAATCCACTGTTGCGCACTGAAAAGTGATTTTTGACGCCCAAACAAAAATTGTACACACAACTTCACAAAGGCAGCTCTGCAAATAGATAATTGGAGCCTTTTCTTGCACACGAAAAGATAAATCTTATCATGTATCCCAGGAAGGCTGTTTGTTTTGGAGCAAGCAAAAGACCAGAGTATAGAAGATGAGTTGAGTCGGACAGGATCTAACGGGTTGCCAGACATCTGAACAGATCAGAGTGAACTCGCCTGGTTTTAGCATTTATAGAAGCGTTTCTTGTTAACATAAAAATGGTTTACAAAGACAACAAACGAAGCCGATCTGTTGAGCTGGAGCTGGGTTTGCTTAGATATGTATTTCAGCTGTGTTAGAGGATCAGCTCCTACAGACTTTTGGAATAATGTCATCTGATGTCTGTTACTAATGCAGTTTGTCTGAATTTAGGAAGTTCATATCTCTGTCAATAGGATCTGCCGTGTTTCACATCATCGTTTATACAATAAAGGGCAAATCGGGGTTATTTTTAGAGCGGGCAGTTCCTCGTGTCCATAAATCTGTTGAACTTACAGTAGCTTTGTGGTGGGGGTGGTGGGGGGATTCAGCCTTTATGTGCTGGATTATGACCACCTCGCCGGTAACGTAAACATTTGTGTCAGCATTCTGACGTCTGGCCCTCACATCTCTGCTCTGTCGAATGCCTCTGCGTGCACGTCAGATCTGAGCGAAGCTCCATGCTACAAATGTAAACTCACACTGGTGCCACATTCAAGACCACACATGGAAGAATTTAATTCCTTATGGGAGCTTGAGCTTTAGAGAGTTCTGAGTAGGTAGACCAATATACCATATATTTTTTTTATGTCAGCCAACGATATTTTTCCTCAAAGCCAATTTAAAGGTGTTGAACACTCATTTAATCGATGCATTTGCAGTGGTATCTAGTAGGAATGAATGCCTTGTAAGTTGTGGTCTGGGAGGGACAAAATATGCTGGTGCACCATTTTCAGGAACTAGAAGTGAGTCACATCACTGTTGAGCTTCAGACGGCAGGTTTTGGAGTTTTATTTCCTGATATTTGGACATCTCGCCTCGGATTGGCTAACAGCAACACAACTGTGCCACTGACTCCTCTGCAACATTGATGTTTTATCTCCACAAATAACACAAGCCTGGAGGAGCTTCTGCCATGGTGGCGTTGCTAATGCTAAGGGTTAGCTTCTACTAGCTGAGCTGTTCTCTGCTGTTTCTGGACGCTAAACCAACAGCAGCCTTCCCCGTCACGAGTTGAGATGGGTGAGTCCATGAATGTTGAGAGACAGTGTGACGTAGATCGGTCAGGCTTTTCAAATCCTAGAGTTTCACCTTCTACTTTCTGTCAGAAGCTAATGCAGGAGATGGGTGTAGGATATAATTTTCTTGTTCAGCCTGCATGAAAAACTCAGTGTGACTGGTCATGCCCGAACAGAAATGATCATTAGAAAATGGGTTTTCACGTGTAGCACACCTTTAAAGTCGGGTACATCCTTAAGCAGCCCGGTGCAGGATTGAATTTAAATGTATTTTTACGTTCAACAATAACATTTGGTCTAAATCAGGAGTGGGGAACCCTGGTCCATCGAGGGCCGCTATCCAGCATATTTTAGTTTCAACCCTGAATCATCACACCTGATTTCAATCAGCAGGTGATCAACGGACTTCTGTAGAGCCTGATGAGCTGCTGAACAGGTGGGTCAACGACAGAATCAGCAGTGTTGGAGCAAAGACGTGCAGGATACCGGCCCTCAAGGACCAGGGTTCCCCACTCCTGCTCTAAATGAACTTTATTTAGGTGTCTCATTTAACACTAAAGTGCACAAATTGACTATTTAAGTTAGTTGAATTCAGAGTTAAAAAAAAAGATTCAGCTTCATCAATTTTGTGCATCAACTGATTTTAGTGACATTTTAGAATGGAAAATAAGGTGGGAAACGGCTGGAAATAGGCCACAACAATCGGGAGTACATATCGGCCGTCGGCTAACCACGGGTTAGCGTTAGCTCTGTTTAACACTGGAAGCATCAGCGGCGCGGAGCGGCAGTGGAACATTTTACTCATGAGCTTCAATGCGGGCCGTTATACACCAGGAGAGTCTTGGCCACAGAACAGCTTCCTCGCTGGACTCGCGAGATCTCAAAGTCCATCGAGACTTTCATCATCCCCCTCGCTTGACTAGTGAGATCACAAGATCTCGAGACTTCAAAGGTCACGGTTTGTTTATGCAATCTGCCATTAAACCAAAAAGAAGGAAATCACGTTTGATATCGCTGTTTTGTCATGTATGATGCTCCTCTCCACTGCCAGGATTAAAAGCATGAAAAACAAGCTGCTTCGCTTCTCAAATGATGCTGGGAGTAAATAAGCTGTTCGGTCACACGTAAACTACATATATATATATAAGAAATTGTGTCACTGCAGTACTTTTACTTTGTAAATTACCAGGATTTTACACTGAAATCGTATGTGTTTTCCTGTCTAGCCCTATGTTAACTGCAGAAATTCACGTGTCCCAGAAGCGACTCGCTGCAAAAATAGAACACGAACCCATCTTGGGGGGACGCGCCAGAAGATTTCTGCATCGCAGCTGGTTTGAATCACCCCCATAGACTGTAACGCATTCTATTTGAAGCAGCGACGTTCCGTGCCGCTGATGCTTTCAGTGTGAGATAGGGGTTGCACGTCTGTGTTGGCAGTAGAAAAAACAGTCGTCGGTCTCTAGTTCTGAGTTTGTACAGCTGAGGTTGAACCATTATAACCCAGACTTACTGTTACGTGGCCTGATGGTGGCATTTTGTGCTCTTGAGTGTTCCTGACCTTTTATGCCCTCTTCCTCTGTAGGAGTGATTTACCTTAAGAACAAGATAATCCAGCACTGGAGTGATGGGGACGGTTCAGGCACAGAGACGCTTGTTAATAACATCCCAGAGGCAGACAGGCAGTTCATTCGAGACAACATAGTGGAGGCGATCATCCAGTCCCCCGACCGCATCAGGTAACCACAAACTCTGCAGGCAGCGTCCGAAATTAACACTCGCCGCTCGCCAAATGCGAGCAAATTGCTCCATTTGGCGAGTAAATTTTTGAGCTCTATCTGCCGCATAGCGAGTAAATGTTTGCACCAAATTAGTTATGTTTTTATCAGCCATCTTCCATGGATTTCTGTGATACTCCTCCCGCATGCATGCAACGTACACAAACGTACGCGAAACGTGAACGCCGCTTCCAACGTCCTTTCCGCCTATCCCATTCAATCAGTTTATCAAGTTAGCAGTTAGCTTCTTGTTAAAACTAGCGGTGAAATGTGGCGGTTTTTAACTGGAGTCAGCCAGCCTTCCAAAAGAAAACTCGTCGAACTGGAAGAAAACCCACCAGAAGTGGAGATGGAGGAGTCGTAAGACACCGGCTACTTTATGAACCAGAATCTGCGCAGATGAGCTGCACCGTTTGCCGCCAGCGCGCTCGAGAAGAACTGCAACAACTCGTTTGTCATAGGAAGTAAGACAATGAAGCTGGAGACTATTCGGGAACATGAAAACAGCAAATGCCATAGACCCTTTTACTGTTTGTAAACAATATGACGTCAGCGAGAATGCGCGAGCAGCTTGGCAACAGAGAATGGCGTTGTGTCAGGCTTTATCAAGCTACGCTGCGGGGTTATCACCGGCAAATCTTGAATGTTATATTATTAAACTCACTTTAACGAATGGCAACAGACTCCCAGATCCCTGTGGCATTATGGAATGGGTGGAAGATGTAGGTGCGTGGCCAGATATCACCCAGTGGCCCGATATATATACGTTTGTAGTGGAGAGGCCCAGTAAGTACACACGTGAGAAGCTACAGGCATACAAATCGTTAGATGCATACAACTATGTTTTGTCTGTGGCCACGTACAGAAAGTTAAACATCACGACATAGACTCTGAGTTTTACGTCTTGAAGGCAGAAGTCCTTCCTAGCCAAAGACAAGGATACAAGACTGCTATGTACGAGGCTTGGGTCATAGTAAACAAACCAGAGAACTACGTCTTCACAGCCAACTGTACCTGCATGGCAGGGTGAGTATAGCATAGGTTTCTTTTCTTAGCGTGCTCAGAGTACAATCGTGTTAATTTTAGAGAAATACAGTTTATACTACTATGCAGTGGGAAAATACAGATGAATTAGAATGAAATGTTAATTTGAAGCATGAAATAAAGCGTATAAATTTATATGTAATCTTAGTACATAATTACCTTACCTGATATAAAATGGGCGCTACAAACTCGAGCATTTCGGATCGTGTTTTCAGTCGAGTTTTCATCAACCCTTTTGATGGCCTGCAGCCACAGACGCCTCCGATTTTGTTGAAATGGATGTGCTCCCTTCAGAATTCTGTAAAGTTTCAGTCCACTGCTTGAAGAGAAGCGATTCTGGCATCCATACACGCAACAACCCGACATGTTTATGTGCTCAGAACTTCAAAACAAAGGGTCTAAAACGCTGTTTTAGTATCGAGTGTGAATGAGGAAGCCTTCACTCTCGTTGCCAGGCTGCGCGCGCAACTTTTGATGACGTAGGTAGTAAAAGGGTCTGAATTGCCTACACATCCATGTCCCGGGCTCAATCTGAGTCTCTACTGGTGACACCCACGGTCTCGGCGCTAATGGCTATGTCAGAGAAAACGAGGAGTGACTAGATTTCAGTGAAAGAGTTCATAAAAACATTTAAAATAAATAGTAAAATGACAAAAGAGTTGTTTTTCTTATTAATTGATGTTTTAATTATTTTGTCACGCCTCTCTGTTTGGAATCAACATAATATAGAATAACATGCTTTAGGTAGGTCTAAATCATTTAGAATTTTGGCCGGTAGATTTTCATCATCTACCAGCCAACTCGGCCGGTGAGTCAAACATTTTATTTTGGGCCCTGCCTGCAGGCGTTCTGCAGCTGCAGCAACATCTGTTCCTGTTTCCTTGCTTATATTATTGAGTCGCTTTCTAAAGCTGCTCTTTTGAACTTGATCAGGGTCCAGCTGACAACGTGCATCCACCACATAATCAAGCACGACTACCCCGCAAGGTGGACGGCCATCGTGGACAAGATAGCCTTCTACCTGCAGTCCGACAACAGCCTAGGATGGCTGGGCATCCTGCTCTGTCTCTACCAGCTCGTCAAAAACTACGAGTGAGTCGGAGCTCAGGAAAGTCCTAATATGAAACTCGAAAGCTTCGCGTAACTGTCTTCCGTTTACTCGACACAGATATAAGAAACCAGAAGAGCGACAACCCGTCGTCTCTGCCATGCACGTCTTCATGCCCATGCTGAAAGATCGCTGCGTCCAGCTGCTCCACGACCACTCCAGCGAGTCGGTCCTCATACAGAAACAGATCTTCAAGATCCTCTACGCTCTCTTCCAGGTGATTTGAGTTTAAATCGAAATCTGTGTTGGAGCGTTAATTTTTTAAATCTCAGCCTCAACCCTCTGCCCCCTCCTCTAGTACAACCTCCCATTGGAGCTCATCAACAGACAGAATCTCACAGAGTGGATGGAGATCCTGAAGAACGTAGTGGACAGAGAAGTGCCCCAGGTAAGAGAGACAGAATAATTTAGGTGGTTTCGCATGGCCCCTGATTTTATTTTTAGAATAGTGGAACTTGGTCTCCAACTGGCTCTTGGTGTAGATCAGCGTCCAGTCCTGGTCCTTCAGGGCCACCGTAAGTTTTTCTTCTTCAACACACCAGATTTGGATCAGCGGGTGATTATCAGGCCTCTTCTGAACAGGGAAACAACTAAAACATGCTGGAAGGGGGTCCTCCAGGATCAGGCATGGTCATCACTGGTGTAGATGAGACACATTTATGTCCAGATTCTTACCAACACGCCTCGCAGTGCAAACAAAGTCACCATAAAATAATATGTGCATTTATGTAATCGTTGTCGGAGTTCACCCAGCCAATCTCACAAATGTTCTGTGGATTTGGAGAAGGCATTAACCGCATCCCTCTGGGGGGGGGTAATGGGCACCGGGCTCCTCGGTACAGGCTGTTAGGTCCCTGTATGACCGGTGTCAGAGCGTGGGCCGCGTTACTGGAGGTAAGTCGAACTCGTTCCCAGTGAGGCCTAGTCCACGTGTAGCCGTTTTTTTTTTTTTTTTTTTTTAAACGAATATCCGCCCCTCCAAAAACTTGCATCCACACCACCTCGTTTTAAAAAAACTCTGTCCACACGTACCCGGATAAATACGTTGTTAAGGACATGCCAGACCTGTAGGCGGCAGTACTTCCCCCGTTCTTAACCTCGTCCTTCGTCTGTGGTCTTCCGCAAGGAGCAGTAATTCCGCTTGCAAAAACAAACAAGCAAAAAGCGCTTGGACAATTGATAAAGCGAGCGCAGCTCTGAGGACATCCATGCTGTCGGCTAGTGTAAACACAGGTCGCACACGTGATGTCAGCATGTTTTTGTCGCGGAAAGTGACGTTGCGGACCTTAAAACTCCGGTTTTGTCTGTCCACACGCAGACACCCAAAACGGAGAAAAAGCAGATCTTCACTTTGGCCGGAGTTTTTAAAAAGATCCGTTTTTGTGTGAAAAAACTCCGTTTTCGTGTGGATGACAGGCCAAAACGTAGAGAAATATCTACGTTTTGGCAGATCCCCGGCTACGTGTGGACAGGGCCTGAGAGTTGGACTCCACCCGCTGCCCTTTGTCACCGATCCTGTTCATAACTTTTATGGACAAGATTTCTAGGCGCAGCCAAGGTGTTGAGGGGATCCGTTTTGGTGGTCTACGGATTGAGTCGCTGCTTTTTTGCAGATGATGTGGTGCTTTTGGCTTCATCAGAACGTGATCTCCAGCTTTCGCTGGAGCGGTTCGCAGCCGAGTGTGAAGCAGCTGGGATGAGAATCAGCTCCGCTAAATCCGAGACCACGGTCTTGAGTCAGAAAAGGGTAGAATGCCTTCTCCGGGTCAGGGATGAGGTCCTGGCCCAAGTGGAGGACTTAATTATTTCGCAGTCTTGTTGATGAGTGAGGGGAAGATGGAGCGTGAGATCCGTAGGTAAGCCAGAAGGCAAAGCTCTCGATTTACCGGTTGATCTACGTTCCTACCCTTACCTACGGTCACGAGCTTCTGTGGTGACCGAAAGAATGAGATGGTGGATAAAAGCGGCCAAAATGAGTTTTCTCCACAGCGTGGCTGGGCTCTTCCTTCAAGTTAAGGTGAGAAGCTCGGTCGTCTGCGAGATGCTCTGACTAGATCTGCTGCTCCTCCGCGTTGAAAGGAGCCAGTTGAGGTGGCTCAGGCATCTGATCAGGACGCCTCCCTGGTGAGGTTTTCCAGGCACTTCCAGCTGGGAGGAGACTTAAAGGGAAGACTCAGGACAAGCTGGAGGGACTCTGTCTCTCTGCTGGCCAGGGAACGCCGTGGGGTTCCCCCGGAGGAGCTGGCCCAAGTGGCTGGGGAGAGGGCAGTCTGGACCTCTCGGCTTGGGCTGCTGCTTCTGCAACCTGAGCCATGAATAAGTAGATGAAAACAAATGGATTGATTTATTCAATTATAAAAAGGACATTTTTGTGTCCCACAAGGACGATTTTGGTCCTGGTCTCAAAGTTTGCGCTTGTGTCTGCAGGAGACGATGCAGGTGGATGAAGACGAGAGGCCCGAGCTGCCGTGGTGGAAGTGTAAGAAGTGGGCTCTTCACATCCTGGCTCGGCTGTTCGAGAGGTAAAGATTCAAAACACCGTTGAAATGAATAGTCCAGACCCGTTTCACATTCCTTGCGTGAATGCTGCAGGTATGGAAGTCCAGGAAACACAACCAAAGAGTACGCAGAGTTTGCTGAACTTTTCCTAAAAGAATACGCCGTTCCTGCTCAGCAGGTAAGACCCACGCCAGAATGTGAGCAGGGCTTTCCCCGCTGAGGTGAGAGGGAGTTTTCCTCGTGACGCTGGTGAGCAGAAGTGTTTTCTCGTGCGTTTGTCTAACAGGTGCTGTTGAAAGTCTTATTCGTGTACAAGGAAAAGCAGTACGTGGCTCCACGAGTGCTCCAGCAGGCACTCAACTTCATCAACCAGGGAATTGCACACGCTCTGACATGGAAAAACCTCAAGCAACACATGCAGGTGCAAAAATGAGCGGGAAACGTGTCCGAATTCTGATTATGGGATGTTTTAAAGTAACGGCGCTGTAAATAAATGGTGCCCAGAAGCATTAAGTGATTTCATCCCGATGTTTTCTTTAGTTTTACAACATTTTAGTTACTTGTGTTAAGTCTCTTCCCGTTTTGTTTCTCAGGGCATCATCCAGGACGTGGTTTTCCCCCTCATGTGTTACACAGACTCCGACGAGGAGCTTTGGCAGGAGGACCCGTACGAGTACATCCGCATGAAGTTTGGTGAGCAGAGGGGGTCTGCGCTCGTCATCTCGAAGGAATTCGGTGCAAATGTGACCTAACTGTCCCGTTTTGTCTCGCCATCACTCTAGATGTCTTTGAGGACTTCATCTCTCCGACAACAGCTGCTCAAACGCTCCTCTTCACTGTCTGCAACAAGAGGAAAGAAGTGAGTGGAGGAGTTGTGAACGAGTTCCCACCAAAAATGTTTTCTTTAGTTTAAAAATAAACAAATGTGTTGTTTGTGTTCCGTTTAGGTGCTGCAGAAAACCATGGGCTTCTGTTACCAGATTCTCACCGATCCCGCTTCTGACCCCAGGAAAAAGGACGGCGCCCTGCATATGATAGGCTCTTTAGCTGAAATCCTCCTAAAGGTGAACGGATCCGTCAAACGCCCACGGGTTTTCCACTGCAGCCGTTTCCAGACCTGCAGGATGAATGTGTGTAAAGAGTCTGAAACCTGTTTTTATTTGTCCTTCCACAGAAAAAGATTTACAAAGACCAGATGGAGTTCATGCTGCAGCAAAACGTCTTCCCCTTGTTCGGTAGTGAGCTGGGCTACATGAGAGCCAGAGTGAGTGTGGCTCACCGTCGCCTCGTCCCAAAGCCTCGCAGCCTTCTGACCCGACTCGTCTGCGTTTCTCCTCTTAGGCCTGCTGGGCGTTGCATTACTTTTGTGAGGTGAAGTTCAAAAGCGATCAGAACCTGCAGACCGCCGTTGAGCTGACCCGAATCTGCCTGATTAACGACAACGAGATGCCCGTGAAGGTGGAGGCCGCCATCGCCCTGCAAGTTCTCATCAGCAACCAGGAGAAAGGTGAGGAGGGTGGAGCAGGAGGAGGAGGTGCAGCAGCAGCAGCAGCTCGGTTTGAACTGGATTCCAGTTTTCTGAGTTTTATTTAATTTGTCCATCAGCCAAAGAATACATCGCCCCCCACATCCGGCCGGTGATGCACTCCCTCCTGAACATCGTCAGGGAGACGGAGAATGACGATCTCACTAATGTTATACAAAAGATGATCTGCGAGTACAGCGAGGAGGTCGCCCCGATCGCGGTGGAGATGACGCAGCACTTGGTGAGTGCTGCTTGAGGAGATGACGTAACTTCCTGTCTCTATGGAAGCTGTGATTTGCACCACTATTGTGTAATATCGTTTTATTTCTAAGCTTTTGGGACTCCGCTGTGGCTAAAATGTGATCCAGTGTTTTTCTTTTAAATTGAGCATCAAGTGAGATCCTCTAATTTCTCTCGTAAGTTCTTTGCACAGCCTGATGATTTGCTCTCTGTCAGGCGATGACGTTCAACCAGGTGATTCAGACGGGGCCCGAGGAGGAGGGAGGCGACGACAAGGCTGTGACGGCTATGAGCATCCTCAACACTATCGACACGTTGCTAAGTGTGGTGGAGGACCACAAAGAGGTCAGCAGCACAGTCGTAGAGAACGCACACATGCACACACACACACACACACACATGTAGGTTCTCTTAAGAGCTGATTGCTCAGCTCGATGACACTTCATCTGCAGAAGCATCTCCGGTCTGCTGCAGGGTTCCTGCCAACTCGCTTACACCACCCACCGACTCCTGGGAACACGCTCTGTTCTCGCCATGTTGGAAATGACTCAGAAGCTGAGGCAGGAGCTAGAAATAGTGCCGGGGCACGACGCCACCGTGTCTGCTGATGCGCTGCTGGTGCCCACAGCCAAAGTATCATTAGCCGTTTGACCAAACACCCGAGGATTCTGGGTTGCATAACAGTTCCGAAGTGAACGTGCACATTTGTGTTCCACTAATGGGACGCCGTTGCAATAGTATGGCAGACTGAAACAAGACGATTCCCGTCAGACCACAGTGTTTTAACTGTTACCTTTTCCATCTACCTGCAGATCATCCAGCAGCTGGAGGGCATCTGTCTGCAGGTGATTGGGACGGTGCTGCAGCAACATGTCTTGGGTAAGCACAGCCGGTCCAACCTGAGCTCCCACATTCCACTCGCATCAAAAATCCGTCCGCTGGCCTAAAGAGCAACCCGCCGATGATGAACAGATCGCATTGACCTCCAGTGACTCTGCCTGCTCCCCCTTTCTCAGAATTTTATGAGGAGATCCTGTCCCTGGCGCACAGCTTGACCTGTCAGCAGGTGTCGCCACAAATGTGGCAGCTCCTTCCACTCCTGTACGAAGTCTTCCAGCAAGATGGGTTCGACTACTTCACAGGTAGGAGGGAACAGAGACGGTTTAAAGCGGCTCGGCTCTGTTTGTTTTTCGTTCAGTATCTAGAGTTTGGGTCTAAAGAGGTCGCGTGAGTGTGTAAACAAAGACTTGTTCTGCAGATATGATGCCTCTCCTTCACAACTACGTCACGGTGGACACAGACACGCTCCTGTCTGACACCAAATACCTGGAGATGATGTACAACATGTGCAAAAAGGTGGCGAATGGATGCATCTTTATTTAAACGACATGCACGAATAAAGCGATTTAACGGGGTGGGTTACCTACGCAGGTACTGACGGGTGATCCAGGTGAGGACCCAGAGTGCCACGCAGCCAAGCTGTTGGAGGTGATCATCCTGCAGTGCAAAGGTCGTGGCATTGATCAGGTCAGAGTCTAATGGACGTCTACATCCCACACACACACACACACACGGATCTCCGATGTAGAACCCAAACGTCTCGCTCTGCTGCTGCAGGTCGTGCCCATGTTTGTGGGGACTGCGTTGGAGCGTTTGACTCGGGAGGTGAAGACGAGTGAGCTGAGGACCATGTGTCTGCAGGTGGCCATCGCTGCACTTTATTATAGCCCCCCTCTGCTGCTCAACACCCTGGAGAATGTCCGCTTTCCCAACAACACCGAGCCAATCACCAACAACTTCATCACCCAGTGGCTTAAAGACGTCGACTGCTTCCTTGGGTGAGATGTTTTCGTTTTCCATGTTGCAGAATCCCAGCTTTGGGATTTTCTGTTGATCGGGACAAATGAGTCATCTCAATCTGTTAGCCGGGTTTACAGGAGTGACATCTAGTGGGGAAATATTTGGGAGCGCTGCTAACTTCTTCCTCTCACAGCCTCCACGACAGGAAGATGTGCATTTTGGGACTCTGTGCCCTCATCGACCTCGAGCACAGGCCTCAGGCTGTCAACCAGGTGGGCGGCCAGCTGCTTCCAGCAGCCATCCTTCTGTTCAGCGGCCTCAAGAGGGCGTACGCCTGTCGAGCAGAGCACGAGAACGATGATGAAGACGACGAGGAAGACGGGGAAGAGGAGGAAGATAATGGTAAATGTTGGCGTTGCCTAGGGACCTTTGACATTTGAATCGATCCGGTACTAATTCCCGGTACCTACGAATCAATACCGGTACCAGTTTTCGATACTTTTGAGTGTTTATTATTTTAATTATCTTTTATAATTAAATATATATTTTTCTCAATATATAACAATATTTGATAAATATCACGATAAATAACATACAACTGATTATATTTTAACATCGTCCTTGTAGATTTATAAGCTGATAATTAAACTGAAGCAAACATCTTTACTGTGAACTAAATTTACTGTGTATCTTCATTCCTTTTGCCATCTTTTTTCATTTGACTTTTCCTACTGGGAAGTTAGAATTTCCGAGGAGAAAGCAAACGCACCATTAGCTGATAACAATAGTGGTATAGGAAGCTAACATATCAAGCTAACGTTATCTTACAGTTTATTTCGCTGCTGGAGCAGATTAAAATGATGATGCCTCACACTTAGATCGTTGTCGCTGGTTTCATCTTCACCCAATCACTCGTCGCATTTAGTAAAGTGAAGCCAAACTTTAGAGCGCGTTCATGTTCTTCTAGTCAGAAATTCGGAGTTCCGAGGAGAAAGCGAACGCACCTTTAGCAAAACGGAAGCTAACAAATCAAGCTAACGTTATCTTAAACATTTTATTTACCTACCGGAGCAGATTAAGATGAGGATGTCTCACTTAGATCGTTGTCGCTGGTTTCATCATCACCCAGTTACCCATCACATTTAGTGAAGTGGACCCAAGCTTTAGCGTGCATTCTTTCTATCATACTGCTCTGTTTACAACTGGCTCGCAGCGACCGATGACATAACGCTCTTGCGCATGCGCAGCTGTCTAGGCAAGTTCTCGTTGTGAAGGATGGGTACCGAAACGAGGCACCGTTTCAAATGAAGTGAATCGGTGCTCGGTCGGTACTGTGGAATTCGGTCGGTACCTTAAAAAGAACCGAATTCGGTACTCATCCCTAGCGTTGCCTCAGCCATATTCGGTGCTCTCTGGTTTGATCGGATGTTTGAAGCTGCGCTCTGTTTCATTCCTGCAGCCGAGCTGGGCAGTGACGAGGATGACATCGACGAAGAGGGTCAGGAGTACCTGGAGATGCTTGCAAAGCACGCAGGAGAGGATGGTGACGACGAGGACTGGGAGGAGGACGACGCGGAGGAGACGGCACTCGAGGGCTACACTACATCTGTAGATGACGAGGATAATTTTGTGGACGAGTATCAGATCTTTAAAGCCATACTACAGAGTAAGGAGTCGGCTCAAGGAGGGGAAAGCTGCTGCTAATCGGTGTTTAAGAATTTAAATCACTCACTGGTTTCACCTCTGATGCAGACATTCAGACCCGTGACCCGGGGTGGTACCAGGCACTGACGCAAGGCCTCGACGAGGAGCAGCGGAAACAGCTTCTGGACATCGGCACGCTCGCAGACCAGAGGCGGGCAGCACACGGTGAGCGCCGACTGAGACGAGCGAAACAGTGATGCTGCGCTAAAATCTCACAATAAAGCAATTTTCTACACGGCATTTATTCATTTACTCGTGTTTTTGTGGTGTGCAAAGAATAAAATGTGCATTTTCTGTTCTGTTGGCTAAGAAATTAGAGGAAAATAAACTTATTTCAAGGATAAGTCTATGAATCTTGAGTCTGGATGCAGATAAATCAGGAGTTGATGCTCTTGTGGAAAAATAAGAGCTGCTGATGAACAGTGGTACTCCTAAGGGGTTTTAAATGGTGGCCAGCCCCCCCAGAACATTGCTGGCCACCCAACAGGCCAGCAATTTCATATTCACACAAATCCTACAGCAATCATCAATAAATAAATGTAAAACCGAATCATTTGTAAGTAAATACAATAAAAATGTTGCTGCTGCTCACCTTTTTCTAAAGAAGTACAAGTACCTGTTTTCATTTAAACTTTTCTGGGGCACCTCTGCTGATAAACGTGAGCTTGTGTCTAAAACAAATTTTAAAGTGTTTACATGACGGAGCAAAGCCACCTCATAATTCCACTCATCTTCTTACAGAATCCAAGATGATCGAGAAACACGGCGGGTACAAGTTCACAGCTCCGGTGGTGCCATCTACTTTCAACTTTGGCGGCACCGCTCCGGGAATGAATTGAGTCATCTGTTCTACTTTTTTTTTTTTTTTTCCTTTTTTTTTTTTTATTATTACTCTGTGACTGATTGTAGTGAAGTGAAAAACAAAAAAAAAGCTTGTGTTGTTCCCTTAAGTAGTGATTCCAGAACTGGTTCTTCTGAGTCATTCTTCAGTCTGTCAAATGGGAAATGGCTTCAGAAGATGTGGGGGAGAGCAACCAAACTGCAAACCCATGATGGCTCAGGAAGAAAACACGAAACAAAAACAAAGAAAGAAGGTGGGAGAAGAAGCTCTGAACAACACTGTCACCTGGAGCCCTTTATCTTTGTGTCGGGGGGGGGGGGCCTGTGTCGATGACTATTCTTCGTCTTCTTCCCAGTCTAAATGGGTGGTTAACCGATAATGGAACAAAATACTTCATTATCACTGATGTGGCCGGTGGGCCGTGATAAGATTATACCTCTGGTTAGTGATGACATCTGCTCTACGTAAACTCGTGTTTATGATTATGAACATACAAGCCAAGGCTTTCAAGTATCCTTGGGGGGGAGGGGACACCAACCAGGGGCTTTTGTAAGGTATCAACAGCTGTATTCATATGTAGCATATTGGATAATTCATAGCACTATGTGATGCCTGATCTCTGTAAATTAATGACTAGCACTTTCATATTGTTCAGGTCTTCTAGCCTTCTGTATCAGACTGCAAATTTTTTTAAATTGAAGACTATTTAAAAAAGCGACGGGGGAACAGCTGTGTCTTTATTTTGCAAGTGACTTCGGGAACAGCTGGTCCTCGTGCATCCGGCTAGAGGGGATCAGTTGCAATTTGGAAATCGGTTAATGTGGATGCTCTTGGTGTTCAATATGACTACAGGACAAGTGTTTGTGAGCACTGAGTGTAATCGGATACATCGTTGAAGCATGTACAATTCAACTTATCGTGAAGGTCTCAAGCTTTTGGTTGGTGTATGGATGGACCATCTATATATACAACATATTAAAAAAAAGAAGCTAAGGGAGAGCGCGACTGTGACTGTTTAATTTGGACATGAGTTTATTTAGGAGCGATCAAATGTTTGGTTTTGATTTATTTGTCCACCAGAGGGCAGTGCCCATTGTTTCTATTCTGTTATGAATCCTATCTGAAACAGGTCAAAGCCTAAACACTGGACCCTTGTTGTGCAGTAGTATAATAAAAAGGCAACGTTTGCTGAAGTGCATAATCAAAACTGGATTTCAGGTGCTAACTTAACATTCTATAGAACTTTGCATCGTTATGGAGAAAATGAAACATGCTTTTTAAAATCACACACCTGCTTTTAATGAAACTTAAAAAAGCTCTTTAAAAATGGGTTTGCACGTCTTGGAAAATGTAAACATCAAAATTTCATGAGAATAGACTAATAATTACCTTCATGGTTGGAATAAAGTGCAAACCAACAACTAGCAGTAAAAACGACAAACTGGTCTACCTCACCATGGGTAATCCCCAAGGCTCAGTACTCAGTCCCTGATGGATGATGTACATTTGTTTATGCCTTAATTCATAGTATATAAACCATTGAAGACATAATATATATTTTCAGTTGTCTTAATGTTAATATGACAAATATAACAATTTATTGTGTAATTATAACAATGCAGCTATGAAGAATGTAGAGGGCACTTGTCACCTGCAGGGCTCAGAACCTCCACCAGAGTGCAGAAGACTTACAGTTGGTATTTTTTTGGGTTAAAACATGATCTACCTGACAATTTTTAAAGGAATTTTTAAGCAGTTCCGGAAGTTTTCACGTCTATATTTATCAAAATCCAAATTTTTATAATTATTGGTTAAAACTTAAGAAATTAAACAGGAACAGATAGTTTTATTTCCTACTGCAAAAATATAATTTAGCAGATACTTAAATCAGCTTAAAGGAAAAAAACGAGTGACTGTTTCTAGTATTTTATCTAATTAAGCCAAAATGAAGTAGTAGCGTTTAGAAAATACAATATTTGCGCTGGTTCCGCAGCAATAAAATAAATATATATTTAAAAAAATCAGGATGTTATTCCGCCAGACAGGGGCGGGTCAACGTCACGCTTACGTCACCGACACTTGCGCTGCCGCCCTGAGGAGCACCATCCTCGTCACAGGGACAAGATGTGGCTCCGAGACGAGCTGCTGAAGTCCATCTGGTACGCATTCACAGCTCTGGACGTGGATCACCGAGGAAAAGTTTCCAAATCTCAGTTAAAGGTGCGTTTTCTCCTAAAGTCCCCTGCAGGACAAAAACAAACAACACGTTAATTCCTCTAATCGCTTCGCATCAAGTTCTGTTTCATATAAAACAAAATGTCTTCAAGTCATATTTACAATATTTCAACAGAAAAGGCTGCTCTTTAGTTTATGGTGGACGCTGGAATAAACACGGATTGTTGTTTTTTATTTTGCTGCTACAAGTTAGTCCTGATGCAGAACAGAAAACTGCGAATGCAGCAGAAACTAAACCACCGTGGTGAGAAGCTGAAGTGTTTCTTGGTCAGTGATCCATGAGACTAAACTTGTTAATTGTGCCCGCCTGACCCCGCTGACTCATTTTAAATATATTTTTAAACATTTTCTAAATGCTTTTTTATATTATTACTTTTTTTTGTGAAGCGCCTCGTGATTTTTATCTTGAGAGGCGCTATAGAAATGATACTTTCTTCTTTCTTCTTCTGACCCCCTCAACCCCCCAGGTCCTGTCCTACAACCTGTGCACCGTGATGCGGATCCCTCATGAACCCACGGCCTTCGAAGAACACTTCAAAGATGACAACGAGGGTCCTCTGTCTAATGAAGGCTACATGCCTTACCTCAACAGGTACATCCTGGACAAGGTGAGGTCTCAACGCTTCTATTCCACAAAACAGATCTATTATCATTTCTACCTGATGGTGGATTTAAATCATTCCCTGAAATGCACCAAAACCAGAAGCTGTAGTGAAGCTAAAAATGCAGAGACACCAATGTGAGCTCACCTCTCACTGTTCTGAGGGGAGGATCTCCTAAGATCTCAAAAACTAATGGTGCAAAAACACTTCATCTAGTAGTTTATTTCCTCTCAACAAATTAAAAACAGTTTGCTTGATTATTCACTTCAGTGTTTGATTACCTGAGTAAAAACAACTAAATCAGGCCTTTAACCCTCTCAGGCTCAAAATAAGTTTTGATAAAAGGACGAACAACTAATTCCTTCATGGGTACTTCTGAGTTAAAAAAATGCTCATGACATACGTATGTGGAGTAACCAGGTAGGTAGGTTTTAACGTTGCAAATCTGCAACTCCTGCCTCCAGAGGGTTAAAGGTGTGGTTGACCGACAAAACATTTTAATAATTTTTTTCTGATGCGTGCAAGTGTGTAGGGTGTCCCGATTCAAGTCGACCACGCCCCTTTTGCACCCTTGATCTGCATCATAAGCGGTATTACCCACAATCCGCTGCTGCAGGAGCAACTTGATGCTCTTAATGTTTTAGACAAAATTTAATATGGACAGTAATTACTGTAAATTTTGTCAAATAATTGTTTGGTTGTTTTCTTGAAAGTTGTTAATAAAATTTTTTTTAAGTATCACAGCGGCCAGCATTCCGGCATGCGTTGCAGTCGATGACACAAAGCTCCTTGTCCAAATTTGGCAATTAGTTGCACACTTGTGTACCACTCACTCGAAGCCTTACTACGCACTTCCTCCAAGTGCACTTCACAGAAGTCTGTGGGTGTTTCTTAATGTCAAGGCGCCAGGCCTTGCGAGGTGATGTCTTGTGAGGCCAGGCGCCTTGCTTACGAGGACACTGTCCTTCCTTGGTCAAAGAAAATGGTTAAATAGAGCTCCGGACCCCACGTGACTCTCAGTTAGTGGACGCCATTTTGGCATGCAAAAAAGGTAAACAAACACGGATGTAACCATGAACATGAACGGGACCCGCTTGGATTTTACTTCGTCGGAGTTTACTTCACACTTTAAAACAGAAGAAATCGTTTTATATAGTCAGAAATTAAATAGACTAAACATCTCCGACCCTTACCGTGCCCCTGGGATACTTTTTAAAAACGCCAGAAGCTGTCGGAGCGGACTTCTTACCGGCACAACACCGGACCTGGCCGGGGGAACCCCTTGGGATTCCCCCGGCCGGAGGAGCTGGGGAGAGGTCTGGTACTCTCGACTCTACTGCCCGCTCCGACGCCAGAAGCTGTCGGAGCGGGATTCTTACCGGCACAACACCGGACCTGACCGGGGAACCCCTTGGGATTTACCCGGAGGAGCTGGCTCCGGCGGCTGGGGAGAGGGAAGTCACGCTACTGCCCCCGCAACCCGACTCCGGATACGCGGATGAAAATGGATGGATGGACGGACAAATAACAGATTTACACGTAAGTAGTCACTGTGACACAGATAATAGCAATCCAAAGTGCTTTTTATTTGTGATCTGACAATTGATCAACCATTGCTTAAAAATTAAATACAGCTTAGCCGGTTAATTGCTGTGATCATAAAACACGTAAACGGCAGCACGCAGAAATCACGAGGCAATGTTTTACGTGATGTTTACTTGTTGCTATGAGTAATAAGACAGAAAAAGCCACGCCAAAATAAGTTTAGGAAGCCCACTAAGAATCATAATAAAATCATTTAAAATAAATACCATACACAGTTGAGGAAACGTTGGTTTAAGTACCTGATATGAAGTGGTCACTGCATAAGCGAAAACCTTTACTCTCGGGATCCCACAGCTTCATTTTCGCCCGGTCACTAGCGCGTTTTATTACAATGATCCAACGTTTGCGGCGCTCCGGATCTTGGGGAATCCTGTAGATGGCTCATTCCTTATGTCGTCCGCGTCTGTTCTGCATCCTGGGGCACAACAGGAATCTACCATATTTCCCGTTTGATTGAGTTTTCTGACAATAACAAATAGTCCAGCTGCCGGCTTCTGCATGCCATTATGGCGCCGTTTCGATTTGAACTGTTGCATGCCGGGAGAAGTGACGTCAACTCCCGGAGCTCTATGGAACAGACTTGCATCACGTTACCGCGGCTTCCACGACGGTCACGTAAAGTCACGTGACACGGGAAACAACGTTATATTTTATACATATTTGTTTCAATATGAATATATAACGAGCCTTTTACTTTTTTAATTTTGTATATGTTTATTAAATTAAAATATAAGTGAGTTACTACCCGCTAGCCACCAAAGCTGCAACTACTAAGCATTTAACCAACAATAGAAAACTTCTTTGGATAAAAATAAAACATTTTTAATTAGCTGACTTATTTTTAAATTTGAAAATTGTCCTTGAAGTAGCTGCCGGCTTCTGATCCGCCATCCTTTTGAAAATGCCTCGGTGTATTCTGGGTAATTTTTGACCAAGGCTAGGCTACAAGACACCTCCGTGTATCCTTGCTCAGCTAGCTAAACTGCTGACAAACGGAGAACACACGCCTCGGTAGAACATGAACATTGGAACACGTCTTGGTGGCTCCTGATGACGTATCTCCTAGGCAACTGGGGCGGGGCCAAGACATCAAGGCAAGACTCCTTGACATTGAGAAACACCCTGTAGGGCGCAGTACGAGTAATGGGATTGGACCACAGACTTTGTCCTGCTGGGCCAGGGTTTGTGGGCTTTTTGTGCCCTGAGTTCTGCCTGCAAGGCATTCGTTCCTACTAGAGACCACTAAAAATGTATAGATTAAACGAGTGAACCACACCTTTAATAATCAGTAGATTCTGAATTAAATGGTACTATAAAATTATTACTGTTTTCATTTGGTTACTTTTGTATTCAGGGAAGATTCATTGGCGTTTATTTAGAATCCATTTTGTTTAGAGATGAAGATTTGGAACATTTTCATTTTAAACCAACTAATCTTTGATTAGTGATGCACAAAGTAACAAGTTTGTTTTAACTGATGATCCGACAAAGATCTAGTGTTTTTAAGAAGTTGGTATTAAAACTTACTGGTGCTAAAATCACATTTATTTCAGGTTTACAAACACTAAAAATCAGGAAACAGCAGAAAATATTCTGAAGGTTTTCATTAGAAGGGAACAGAGGGGTTTCCACCTGAGGAGAAATTTTTCTTCCCACATTCAAAATATGTGCATTATAAAGGGAAATATTTTTTTATATTTCTGATTATTATGGGATGGTTTGGAATAATTGATAACAACGGGATTTTTGCAGATGAAGTTTCTTACAGGTGCTAACTTTTGTATTAATGTATAATAATTATATTTCCGTAAACCTAAATGGAAATCCAACAAGCATCCGTGTGAAATGTGAAAGTCACATGAGAGGAAGAAGTATTTTTTTTAATGCTTTACAGGGAAGTGGTGGGTTAAATAGGTCTGTGCTTCATGCCTTTTTTTCAGTTACGTAGACACGTAACACATAACGTGTTTTACATTTTTATTTTCTGTATTTGAGCTAAAAAATAAATTTGCATGCTTGAAATCAATCAAATCAAATAAATCTGAGGTTATTTTACAAACATTTCCCAGTTTTACTAATAAAAACACATAATAGGAAATTGTTTGAGATTTACTTTTCTTTTTACTAATAACTATCGAACATTTACCAAAGCTGTGTTAAAAGTGACTCAGCCGCTTGATTGAAACTCTGTTTTACTCATTCTGACCTAATAAAAACGTTTACTTTCATTTTGATTAGAAAATATAAAAATAATTCAGATTTAGGACAATAAATCAACACAATGCATAAGTCTGTGCTTCATGGCTGTTGACAGCTGCTGAAAGGCAAAATAGTTATTAAACTTTGATGATATTTATGACAATTATTGTAAAAAGACAGTTTTCTGCAAAATATCAGACATTCTGATTATGTTTATTTTAAGGATTTCCTGTAATCTGCACTCCAGATTAGGATAAATAACATTCCCAAACAGGAAATAATTCAAAGTTTACAATTGACACAGATTAACTGTGTGCATCCCTTCTTTGTGCACGGATTTTCCAATGAGGAGAAATTATTTAAGGTTGCTCTAAATCACATGAAATCCCTGCGTAGTTCTGCTCTTGGGCTGCAGCTCAGACTTCACCCTGCGTCCTGTGAGGGTGTTTTCTCTTGTGAGCTCTGACTTGAATCAAAATGAGGCCTTCGCTGACCTCACATTTGCACCTCACACCCTGCAGACTCCAGGATTCTGAAAGGACACAAACAAAAACAACAACCGAAAGAAAAGTCCTTGCAAACGCACACTGAGCTGTGTCTTTCATTCCCAGGTCTCCGAGGACTTCGACGTGATCGAGTTTTACAGGATGTGCTGGACGCTGTGCTACAAGAAGAACATTTACCCCCAACGTCTCATCATCTCAGACAACGACGCCTTCAGGGTCTGGTGCATCTTTAACTTCCTGTCAGAAGACAAATACCCGCTGGTCATCGTCATCGAGGAGGTGAGGGAGAGGACTTCTGAGAGAGAGAGGAAACAGATGCATGAAAAATTCTGATAAATAACACAAATTTTTTTTGATCATTTTCAAAATTATAAACAAACACAATGTGTTTGCACTGTGGCACAGTTGTTAGCACTGTTGCCTCGCAGCACGAAGGTTGCAGGTTCGAAACTCGGCTGCTGCCTTTCTGCGTGGAGTTGCGTGTTTTCCCCATGCATGCGTGGGTTTCCTCCGGGTTCTCCGGTTTCCCCCACAGATCACAACATGCCCTATAGGTTATAAATTGTAAGTCACTTTGGATAAAAGCATCTGCCAAAGGAATAAACACAAACATAATAAACGTAAACAATCACAGTAAATCAACTCATTGCTTTGGTTTGCTTAAGCATTCAGTAAAAACAATAAATTTCAACTTTCTAAGTCATAACTCTTACATTTCTTTGTGTTTTTTAGGATTTTCTTTCTAAAAAATTGGATAGTTTAGAAATAATTCATGTTGTTGACAAATCAGTCCCAAACCATGAAGCTCACGTTACCGTGCCTCATCGCTGGGAGAAGGTTTTAGGTTGCTTCAGTCATTGTGTTTATTATTTTACTCACCGGACCAGGTTATTAATAACAGCAGAGGATGGACTTTTTATAATTGTGACATTATTTTCTAAAATGCTTCATTCCATAAAGATTATTCCTCACCTGATGATATTCCTATATGGAAGGATGTTAGAAGTTTATTAAAGCAATACGTTGCAACTTTTTCATATATTTAAATCATTTTTTGAGCCAGTTTGTGCTAAAATGACTCAACAGGGTTAATGAAATGTCACTGAGACCCTCACCGCCCCCCGTGGCCAGGATATCGAACTTGCAACTTAAGAGTGGTGGGCCAAAGTGCTCGCCACGTAATTGGGAGGTTGCAGGTTCGAGCCCCGCTCAGTCTGTCGCTGTCGTTGTATCCTTGGGCAAGACACTTAAGCCCCCTTGCCTCCTGGTGTTGTTCGGAGGCACCGGTGGCGCCTGTGCTCGGCAGACTCGCGCTCTGTCGGTGCGCCCCAGGGCAGCTGTGGCTACAGTGTAACTCGTCACGACCAGGGTGTGAATGTGTGTGTGAATGGGTGAATGACTGATTGTGTTGTAAAGTGCCTCGGGGGTTCCAGGACTCTAGAAGGTGCTATATCGAATATGGGCCATTTAAAAATGGAGCTGACACACGTAGAGGTGGAGTCTGCTTCAGGCACATTTCCTGCATGTTTTAGATCGTGGACACAGCTGATCTGATGAATCACTCCTGTAGACACTAATGAAGGCTGAGGAGACATTTCAGCAGTTACAGTAAGGTGTTAAACAGGCAAAAGCACAGCGAGGAGATAAGTTTCCCTTTTGGTTTTACTAACTGGACACTAGGGGTGCTAAAGGCAAGCCCAAAATACAATGTTTCCCTTTAATAAATGTATAGCTAGTTAGGCTTCTCCATTTTTGAGACCGACTTAAAGATCGGGCCATATTTTAGTAATTAGAGTACTCCAGTTTGACGTCCCGCATGACACTTTGTCCTTCCTCCCATTAGGTGGAGTATTTACTGCGGAAGCTGTCGGAGGCCATGGGGATCGGGTGGAACGAGGAGAGGTTTGTGGACTACAAGCTGCAGCAGAACACGAAGAGCAGCCTGTCCGTGTGGGAACTGATTGAACTAGTGGGGCTGATTTACTTCAGCAAGGGCACGGAGCGCCAAATTTTGTCCATGGGCATCAACGAGGTGTTCTCCGAGCTTATCCTAGACATCCTCAAGCAGGTGAGACCAGACGTGTGCATGGCCTGCACAGTTGTCATTCTGTTAAAAACTTGACACTCTTACTGGTTTGTAACCATCGGGCCAAGAAAGTAGTCCCAGGATCGCAGGCTATGATGTTTTTGCCTCTGTGTGTCATTGTGTGAGTTCATTCTTCTAAAGCACTGGGCAGATTTAAACAAAACTACTTGAAATTCAGCTAAAATTAAATAACCAATTTAAATATGGCTGACAAAGCTAACTGACCTCGGAAAACAGAAAAATGGTTCCAATTCAGCGGGTCCTAAAGGCGGCGTGTTATGCAAAACTCATTGTTTGCATCCTTTTTCCATCAGTGTTTAATTTTAGGACTAATGTGCCTAAAACAAGCAGTTGCAAAAAGTCCTCGTTTGTGATGTCACAAACAGGGAAATTAAAGCAGAACCGCCTCTCACATGCGAGAGAAAGCTGCTGCTGGAGGAGCAGCGGCTCTTCTACAAGCCCCTCCCAGATATCAGAGCTTCTCAGATATCAGCTGTGAGGTGGGCTTGGCCAACACAGCTTGTTTTTTTAAAGTGACAGAGCCGTGAAACGACTCATTCTGGAAGGTACTGAAAACTGCTGAAATGTCTTTATGTTAGAGGAAATTTGTGCAAAGAACCTCATTAGCACGTTTTTATAGAACATAGAACTATTGCAACTTAAAAAAGTCATAATAACAATAATTTCAAAATGAACATCACAAAGCCTGAAAGTCATTTACAACACAGTCTGGGTCTGGTCGCACAAGATCTTGGGATCCTATGTCTATAAACCCAAAAAGATCTTAGATTAAACTACAGAACATGAATTATAGCGGTTGATAAGCAATCAATTCACACTGAACTAGGAGTTTAGGTTTCTAATCTACATATTTTTTAAAAGATTTAATTAATAACAAACACACAATAACTAAGTTCTAATATGATGTCATTTTAATAAATAACAGAGTTCCTGACAGACTAATGAGGCGTTGGCCTGAGTTGACCTCCCTGCTGTGTATTTAAAGGGTTATATGATGAAAAAGGGTCACAAGAGGAAGAACTGGACGGAGCGCTGGTTCGTCCTCCAGCCCACCCTGCTGTCGTACTACACCTGTGAGGACCTGACGGAGAAGAAGGGGGACATCATTCTGGACCAGAACTGCTTTGTGGAGGTATCTGGTGCAGCGTGTTTATGCATCATGAACACTGTAATTCAAACTTCCTGCAGGATTCTGCATGAACTTTAAAACTAGTTTGATTTGAAATGATTTCCTTTCACCTCCTTCAGCCTCTGCAGGACAAAGATGGGAAGAAATGCCTTTTCATCATCAAGTGCAGCGATAAAAGCTTCGAGATCAACGCGTCGGACAAGAAGAAGAAGCAGGAATGGATCCAAGGTAAGGACAGGCCCTCACCCTCCTCAGCTCTGTGGTGTTCCTCACCGTTCAGACTCTCATCCCCCTCTCACTCTGGTCTGTGGCAGCGGTTCAGACGTGCATCCAGCAGCAGAGGCTGGGGCTGTTATCTCCTCACCGCGAAGCCCGGCTGAGGCGCCGGGAGCTCCGGCAGCGGCAGCGGGTGGAGGAGGACGACCTGTCAAAGAGGATGAGGAGGCTGCAGGCGTCTAATGAGAGCAAGCAGAAACAGCTGGAGGACATGAGGATGGTTTGTGCTTTAAGTGCAATAAAATGTTTTTACAGCTGCAGGACCTTAAATCCACTCCACCTCAGTGAGGTGTGTCCTTAACCACGCCTGCTTTTCATGGTTCAGTTGAGCATAAACACCCAGAGTGAAAAAGGAAGTAAAACCTTCTATGCAAACAGTTCAACATCAGGCAGGGACACCTGCGTCCTGAGGACGACGAGGTAAATGAACGCCATCCTTTTCAAGCTGCAGATCATTGTTCACGTCTCACTTCCCCTTTTAACCCAACAGCCCTTCTTATTTTAAATGTCTAAAAATTTCTTTCTGCAGCGCCTCTCACTGGTTCTCTAGAGATTACCAGTTAACCTCACTGAGAAAAGCACAGACAAACAAAACAAAACCGTAAATAGCCTCCTTCTCCGAAGCTTGTTTTTGTCTCATTTGATTTTTGTATGCTAACCAGCAATAGCACTTTCCTCTCATGTGCTCCACAGAAAATGGAAGAGGCTGCAGCCAAAGCGACGCTGGAGGAGCTCAGGAGGAAGAAGAATCAGTCAGACCTGCAGGATCGCTACAGAATGGACTTGGAAAGAGAAAAAATGGTAAATTATGAGTAAATATTACATCATCCTGTCTGTTTTTGTCTCCGTGTTGCTATTTTTATGGAAGCAGTGGCGTTGTGAGCAGACCAAAGAAGTAGACAAGTGGTCCAGTGGTTAGCTTCTCACCCTCAAAGTTTTATCTGCATAAAACCCAATTAAAGAAACTAAGAAACTGAGGACTATGTGTACATGAAGAACTGATTAGTGACTTAATCACAGGCTTGCGTGACAGAGAAAAAAACAGGAAAACTAAACTCGGGCTAGAATAACAACTCAAGATGAAGTGGGATTAAGAGGTCCCTTTTTACAAACAAACCCCCAAATACTTAATTTTATCTAAATTAGTTGTTTCACATATTGTTAAAGCGCAAGTCACCCCAAATCAACATTTTTTTGCTGATAAACCATATAAATGAGTGTCTGATTGTGCTGTAGACAAATGCAGTCAATTATTCGGCACTTTAGTTCATCTTAGGTAAAATTTAAATATTCTACCTTAAACTGTCAGTGTTGCGACCTCTTCAGGTAAAAACTCAGCCCTGCATTTGAATTTAAATCTGCCATCGCTATTGGCTAAGAGGTACACTATGATGTTAGCTGGTACATTATGATGTCACGATGTCGTGAGTGTGTGTATTTGTTAGCGGCTCCGCCCTCTCGGTCTGCTAGGCAACAGCATTTGTTGCATTTTTCAAACAGGAAGTGGGAGTTGAGTAAGAATCTGGTAGGGGGTGACTTGCTCTTTAAGTATCGATTCAGTGTAATAGCATGTGTGCTCTTTAAAGAGCAAGTCACCCCCTACCAGAGTCTAACTCCACTCCCACTTGCTGTTTGAAAAATGCAACAAATGCTGTTGCCTGGCAGACCGAGAGGGCAGAGCAGCTAACACACACACACACACACACACACACACACACACACACACACACACACACACACACACACACACAACAACAACATTGTGACATCATATGGTACCAGCTAACGTTCTAGGGTACCTCTTAGCCAATAGTGATGGCAGATTTAAATTCACATGCAGTGCAGAGTTTTTACCTGACAACGGCACAACACTGACAGTTTTAGGCAGAAAATTTACATTTTAACTTAAATGCACTAAAGTGCAAAACTATTGACTACACGTGTCTGCAGCACGATTAGACACACATTTATATAGTTTATCAGAAAAAAGAAGTTGATTTGGGGGCGACTTGCTCTTTAAAATGTTATCCCTAATTTAATTTAAAAATGTATTGTTTTTAGGTAAAGTCACCTGTTGCTGTGTTTAAAAAACTATGGAGATAAAAACTTTTTTTAAACGGTGAGCAGCAGAAACATGTTTTTTTTATTCTGATTATTTATTTACTCATTAATTGTAATAGTTTTATTTTGTTTTACAATTATGTCTTGAATAAACAAGATCAATATATGGTTTGACTGAATATTAATATGATTTGTTAACACTGGCTTTTCCTGGGGGGGTGGGGGGGGGTGGGGGGTGGGGGGGCAGCAATTTTCGGGGGCGCCCTTGTCACCACGTCCCCCATTCAATCATCTTCACTGTTCCCCGCATCATTTCACCAACATCTGACACCATCAAAAGTTCATCTACAGCTGATTTTAGGATCAGCCTGAGTGTGTTTCCTCTTTCAGGTGCGACAGCAGATGGAGGAGCAGGTGGCTCAGAAGTCCAGTGAGCTGGAGCAGTACCTGCAGCGGGTCCGAGAGCTGGAGGAGCTGTACCACCGACTCGAGGAGGCCTTGGAAGATGAGAGGCAGGCCAAGCAGGATGAGGAGGCTGCGAGGAAGCTGCAGACCAGGTCTGAAAACACACACACACACACACCTACCTTCCAGTGAAAGCTTGTTTTGGCATCATTTGCTGTCCCTGACAGGCTGCTGGAGCAAGAGGCAGCAAAGAGAGCAGAGCTGGAGCAGATCTACCTGCAGCAGCAGAGAACGCTATCTCAGACGGAGGCGGAGAAGGAGGAGCTGAGGGCGGAGCAGCTGGCCAAAGAGAGGGAGCTTCAGGCAGCGACGCAGCTGCTGGAGAGGCTGGAGAGTGAACGTCACGGAGCCCTGGAGCAGTATCAGGTCCGGACGGGTTTAATAAACACTCCAGGGATTATTCTGAATAATGCATTTAGTTTTTCTTCTTATTCTGAAATAAACAGACCACAACGCCACAAAGTCCCACTTCCGGGAGGTGTTCACTGACACCTAGTGGCGGTAATTCCAAAGTTGAACACCAATATCTTAACATGACCTTAAGAAACAAAACAAAAATCAAGAAGAAAAATCAGAAGACATGAATGAAAACGTTGGTTTGTGCAGGAGTCTGTAATTATGAAACCAGCGAGGTTCATGGCGTGACCCGAATCCACCTGCGTGTTTTTCTTCTCCCCAGGAGGTGTCGAGGAAACTTGAGAGAGCAGCTAACAAAACTAAAACCTGGAAAGACAAAGTGGCCAAACAAGAAGGGCTGGTGCGTCTCATCCAGCCTGGTAGGAGCACATCTGTAGCTCCAGATGTTATGAATGCATTAGAGTTTGCACATCGACATCTGGGCTTCTTTAGTTAACCTTTAAATCTGACCCCTGTTTAACTGATTCGTTAGTTTATTTTGTTTTAGGTCACAAAGGACCTCAGAGGATCACTAACTGGGGTCCGGCATCGTTCTCCGACATGGAGCTGGACCTGAGGAAGAAATCCTGGCAGGAAAGTAAAAACCAGGGAGCTCAGGCTCAGTGAGCCTTCAGGAAACGTCCTGACGTGTCAGAAATCACCTCGTCTCTATTCAACAGCTGTCGGTAAATTGAGTCATACTCTGTAGTTAACTTAAAGGTGTCGAACATTTGTTTAATCAATACATTTGCAGTGGTCTCTAGTAGGAAGGAATGCCTTGTAAGTCGTACTCGGGGTTATAAACACCAGTGCATTGTTTCCAGGAACTAGAAGTGAGCCACGTCACAGCTGAGCTTCAGGCGGCAGGTTTTCGAGTCTTATTTCCTGATATTTGGACGTCTCGCCTGGAACTGGTTAACAGCAACGCGACTACCACTGACTTGCAACGTTTTAACTCCACAAGTGGAGTTCTGCTAAGTGGTGGACTTGCTAATGCTAACGGTTAGCTACTAGCCGAGACATTCTTTGCTGTTTCCTGGATATTAAACTAAAAACAGCTTTCCCCGTTGTGAATCCATGAACGTTAAGTGACAGTGTGACGTAGATCCGTCAGGCTTTTCTAATCCTAGAGTTTCACCAACTATTTTCTATCAGAAGCTAATGCAGGAGGCAGGTGTAGGAGACTATTTTCATGTTCAGCCTGCATGAAAAACTCAGAGTGATCCGTTATAATCAGAAATAAGATAAAAACAAAAAACGTATTTTCAGTGTTCCACACCTTTAAAACAGCATTTTAATTAAATCAGTACAGATTTGGTTAGTCCTGATGATGATTAAACTAGAAAGCTGATTCTATTTGTCTTTTTGGCTTAACATTTAAGTTTTTGCTAAAAAAGTTTTCCACACTGATCATTTTCTTTATTTTTTACGTATTTTTTAAATCATTCTTTGATTTCTGACCTTTACCGCATAAATTACTAAAACTCACTGAGTCGTTTGTTGATATTAGCCTATTAGCTCAGGATGGATGAGTGACTGAACAATAAACTCGATTCAAGGAGTGTATGTGTGTGTGTTTTTTATTTGTTTGTTATTTAAATAAATGCACCTGAACGCTAGCCTAGTGAACTAGACCAAATTCTTGCTTTGCAAAGTTTGGTCTAGGCTCGCTCCATTGGAACCTCCGCAGCTCCTACCAGGACTCTGGCTAGCCAATCACAGCTCTCTAGAGGGGTTCAAACACATAAAGAGCTGTGATTGGTCCATAATGGTGGGCCAATCATAGTGCTCTATCTGCTTAGTGAACAAATCACAGAGCTTTATCCACTTTGTGGGCCAATCAGGGCACTCTATTGGGCCATTCCCATCTGTACCTGGTCGGCCCTGCCCGGGTAGCCCCAGTCAGCCCCAGCCTGGCCCAGTTGGTTCCACACATCCTTGTTTAGGTATGCAAGGAATGCAGTCAGAGACACAATTTTCAGCTTCTAGGTAATCAGCATGATAATGAATGATAATGAATTGAGCATGCCTTAAGCCCATGAGTGCGTTTACATGCAGCCAGTAACCCTTTTAAAACCCGAATATTCACAATAACCCGGTTCCGCAGGCCCATGTAAACACCGCCAAAAACCCGGACATGCTCATAACTGGGTTTTTAAAAACCCGGTTACTACACCTGGGGTAACCCTTTTCTAACCCGAATGTTTGGTCGTGTAAACGCATACCGGGATATCTTCATCAAAGCGTGTGTTCTGCGCATGCTCTGTTCGCAAGGAATCTTGGTCTTTTGAGTAGCGAGACGTCTTGTATGCGCCAGAACACCGGAAGTAAACAACAAGTTGGGAGCAACATGGCGAGTCGCGGCACAGCACCACACTTTTGGAGTGACGAGGAAACTAAAGCGCAAACAAACGCGGTCGCTATCTCTTCCGAACTGGGAAACATGTTGTTTTCACGGATACCGCAACAAGAAGAACCGGAAATTACGCATATTGCGTCTGGACGTAGTCCATACATCCTGACGCTACCCCAACGCCTGCATTTACATCGGGTTATGCAAGTTAGAGGTAACTCTTTCTATTTGTGCTTGTAAACGGGTTATTCTGATCAACTCAGAAACCCGAATACCGACCTTAACCCGATCATAACCCGGATATTGGCTGCATGTAAACGTAGTCCATGTGGGCTGATTCGACCCACCAATCAGAGTTGCTGTTAATGGAAGGTGTGAATTTGCTGTCAGCAGTGGGTGTGTTGACCCTGGTCAGCCTGAAGCAGACCCCCTCAGAAAGAGGGCTGAAAAACAGTCTTATTGCACCCTGAAAAACGGCAGGCCACCAAGATATGTAAGCAAGCTATGCTATCCGAGCCGGGCCGACCAGGTATAGATGGGAATGCCTGGTGGGTGGGATGATGCAACAGAGTGAAACAAGAGTATGTCACATTCTTTGTCCAGTGGAATGCAGAGATCATTTGAAAGACAACGGTAGAACCCGCCCCACAACCGAGAGCCGTCAATGGAGCGTGGCCAGACTAAATAATACATTTATTTAGTCTGGCTTGCCAGGCTACCTGAACGCAGCATCCAACAAACAAGATCATCATAACTTGTGCGTCTCTGGATTATCCAGCAGATGTCGCCATAGAAACAGGATTAGAGACGTTTTTTTACCCTCTCCCAGAAATATTTAGACACACAAGAAGAAGAAAAAAAACAATCTGCATTTTTAGAAAAAAGGGGAAAAACATCAGAAATGACTTGTTTTGAACTCATTTGGGGCTAAACAGAAGGTGATGATAGTCATAAAGCAAAAATTAAGTAATAATGATGTAAGCGTCCTCGTAAATGTGTTTGTAGAATTTTTCTGTAAAAGTTTTTTCCTGATTAGACAAGCATTTAAAACATCTGGTCTGAAACTGTCCAAGAGGGATGAGCTGCACTGGCGACACCAAGGGGTGGCCAGGGGTGACCATGGCCACCCCCCAGAGGAGACCAATGCTCTTTAATGAATTATATTAATAAAATGAAATCAGACACAAATGTAAAACCTAATAAAAATATACAATGAAAGAGTAAATAAATAATCAGATAAACAAGTATTTATGTTTCTCCTGCTCACCATTTTCAAAACAAAAGTATCTGGTATCAAAAGCAGTATCTGGTTTTTGTGAAGTCAGCAATTAAAGTGTTCTAAAAATTCTACAATCAATTTTAAAATAACATTCCAAATAAATCGCCACAAGCAAAACTCTCCTAGAGTCACCACACCGACCAATCCGGCGTGCCACCGTCAACATTTTCTCTGGCCTCATCTGCCCCCCCCCCATATGAAATGTATCTCAGATCAGATCAAACTCCGCCTCTCATCCAATGCAGCTCCCTCTCACGCTGGATGAGATGACAGCAGGTTATGGGTGTGTGTGTGTGTGCGTTGTTCACAGGTAATGCAGTCAGAGTCACAAAGACAAAGATGGAGGATAAATTTGCAAAATGAAGACCTGACTTCTTTGTTCCAGCTCTCTCCCAACAAGACAAACGGCTCCCGGTGCAGGCGACACGCAGCAGTGAGGTTCTGATGTCAGAACAAGTCCCTCTCAGCAACAGTGGGCCTCTGTTCCCTCTTGTTCAGCACCCCCCGTCTCGCTCACCTGGGAGCTTCAGTTACGGGAACTGGGTGAACCCGTCAGCTGTCACATGCACAGTGAGACACTCCACTCGCGTCAGTCTCTTCTCTTTCGTTTGAGAGAATCAAAACGAGAGTTCATGCAGGGTTGATCGCTGACAGAGCAGGAGACGAGATAAGAACCTGCATTAACGTCCTGACACCATGCGCACGTCTCCAGATAGGATCACTCATCGCCCCAAATGTCTGGGCTAATCCTGGAAACCACGGAGCCAATTTACCGTGATGGTAAAGGTTTTATGGGCCTCCTTGTCAGCTTGATTCTGTTTTCACTGCAGGGTGTTTTGTCCTGGCGTTCGATAAACAGATTTGCTGTTCACATTTCTGCTTTAAGAGGTATTTATAACCCAGAATGTGACACAATGTGGTCCTTTTTTATTTATTTTTTACACACTAAAACATTTTTCTCAGAACTGGGAAGACTCTCATCTCCGTGGCTAAATAGCAAAAGCCGTCCACATTCTGAGAATACATCTCCGTCTCACCCCTGCTGCCCCATGTGTCCAAAAGGCACCCTGATGCCCATGACCAATTCATCTGGTTCCTGTCTGCAAAAACACCCTCATCCAAACTGGAACACTTTATGGGATCGAACACGGTGTGAAAAATCTCCAACAGATGCCTGTTTTTCTTTTTCAGATGTAACTTTAAAAATGACTCACCTTTAGTGACAACGTTGTTTTTCTGTTCACCGACGAGTGGATGGTGTTTGGATAAGCTGATCCGATGCATCTGGCAACTGATGTCATCCTTATTCCTGCATCGGGACTCAGTGACGTGTGCAGTTCTGGAGCAGGTGCCTGCGGAGAGCGTGTCTTGCATCCATGGGGTTATGTGGATAATAGGACTTTGAGGAGCAATGAAATAAGTCTATCTCATGCATCTCTGGGGGAATTTTATTTTTTTGAGACGAAGGGGGTCTGCAGGAAGGCCAGAGAAGCATCTACCACAGCTGCGACCGCGCTCAAAGAGCCCAACACAAGCAGAAACCTGCAGTCTGAAGTTTACAGGCTGCTTTTGTCTGCTTTTTGCGCGAGCTGCACACTTCCAGCTATCCCAAGACAAACGGCTGAACATTGAAGAAGAATGCAGCCAAGTTACACAAGATTACCATTAAACATAAATGCATGTAAGACCTTCTGACCTTTGGGATGCTGGGAGCTTTCATCAGTTATCAGAGATGAAAATCACTTGCAGAAGCAATCATGTATCTAAACTCACGTCACGGTTATGAGTTCGTTCATTTTCTCGTGCAACTCCTCTACATTCGTGCGTCCATGTAAAAGTTCAAAATTGGATCAAGTATCAGTTGGGAAAGACGGGAAAGGATTTCTATCGTGCCATTCCTCTCAGTCCTGCTGAGTAACATCCGCTGCATACTTCTGATTTGGGGCTTAATCTCCATACCCAAAGCAAACATGCCAAACATTTAAAGAATGACCAGAAGATCTGTCCAGATGTTTCCCCGGTGCAGCTTTGCACCTGCTGCCAGAACGGGGCAGCTGCATGATAACCATGAGACAAACACCCACAGCGTCCTCAGCTCCCTTAGAGTCAAACCTCCATCGGACAAAAAAAAAAAAAAAAAAAAGTCCCGCCGGGATCCGCCAACCAGGCGCCCGGGAGAATGAGGTGAGACTTCTGCCATCATCATGACTGCTGGCTCAGAGAAGAACAAGCTCACAGAGGTGTCGGATTACCATTTGTTGGGAGAAAATCCTGAGGAAATCTGAAGGAGGCCAGAAAAACATGGCAGCTACAAATAGATGTGATTTTTCTTCTTGTATCAGATGACCTTCTGAGTGAAGCCAACGTCAGCGGCTTTGAGAGGCAGCTGCACTTTCAGCTCAACAAAAATGTCACCATGGAGAAACTCAAAAGGCATTTTTGGGTCATTTTTAAGTGAAGTTAGGCATGAGGGTCCAGCCATTTCAACCTGAGGGTTAAATCATCAAGTTAAAAGTTCTCGCAGGAACTAAATTGAATGTCTTTAGAAAATAGCTCAAAACTGGGCCAATGGGCATTACCATGGTACGAATCTGGTCACAAAAATGGTAGAAATTATCCGTTTAAATCATTCCTGCTGTTTCCACCATTCTAGAAATTCAATTGGGGGTTGGAAAACATCCCTTTGAGGGCCACATTTTGGACATGCCTACCTGCAGGTGATATAAGTTAAAGGTCAGCTTTACTCACATCTCTAATACAGCTGCAGTGGTCTCTAATAGGAATTTTCTTGTAAGATGTTCTCTGGGGGGGAAAACGTTCCAGTGAGCCTACTTGAGGTCGCAGAATTCAGCTGGAGGAAAAAGTAGCTTCAGACGACAGGATGGGGAGTCTTATTTCCTGATATTTATACATCTCACCTCTGATTGGCTAACAGCAACGTGACTCTACCACTGACTCAGTTTCCTCTGCAACATTGTTTTATCTGCACAGATAACACAAGCCTGGAGGAGTCCTGCCGTGTGGTGGTGTTGCTAATGCTAACAGTTAGCTTCTACTAGCAGTGACTCTCTGCGGTTTGATGGAGGCCAACAACAGCCTTCTCCGTCGCAACTGAGCCAGGATACTCTGGAAGTTTCTTCCTGGTCGCTGCATGCTTGCTTAGCATGAGGACGGCTGTAAAGACACCGACGCTAGTCAGTGACTCGATGTAATCTGCTGGGCTCCTCATGTCATTTAATACCATTTTAAGTAGTGCAATTAAAAAAACACCATGTTCTTAAAATGCAGGAAACGTCAGCAGTCGTGATGTAAAGTTTGAACACCCTTGGCATAAAGAACGCAGCCTCAGACCTACTAGTTAGATCAGCTCTGACTGGACTGGTGAGCAAACAGCTGGTCCCAGCATGACCAGTAACAAACTGGATTAATAATCTCAAAAGCTGCAGTTGTTCATTCAAAAAACAACTTTATAGTATACTTCATATACTTCTGTTTCTGGAACATCTTCACTCCAGGTAGAGTACTTCTGCAGGAACAACTGCAGCGTGATTCACTTTGTTAAACGTTATTAAGAAGCAACCTGATTTAAAGGCAATGTCCCCCCCCCCCCCATCCCCTTTTTATTTAGATGCATCTAAAAAAAGCATTAAAAAGATAAATTAATCCCGAAACTGGTGCACTTCTCACAGCAAACACCAGAAAGCAACACTTTCACGTATATCTTATTTATTTCCAAAAACGTAGTGTCATCACAAGCATGATACAAAGATACGGTGACAAAAAACACTCCTCTGACATCTTTGAATTGTTTTATGTGCCTCTTCTTATTTTTGTTTGTAAAGATATGAAACGGACAAAAGGAGAAGAGATGAGGCGAGGATTAGAAAAACCACACGACCTACACGATACATCCCTAACAAGCCATTAAAAAAAAAAAAAAAGACACTGTTGCATGGACGATCTCAACAACAAAAGGTCATTTCATTCAGAACAAACCACAAAACAGAAAACAGGCCACTCGGGTTGTTGCACCAGTAAAGACAAAAAAAAACAAAAAAAAAAACAAAGTCAGTCACATTGGATTTAATGTTAGAAACGTGTACATATGTTCAGCTCAGTGTACAAAATTAAACATCACAAAAGTATTTTACAAAAAACACAAAACCACCACACTTTGTTGCACTTTTAATAAAAAATAATAACTTACAACGTATGAGACGCGTGTTACGAAGGATTCGGTAAACAACTGTTCTCCATTTAAATAAAAAAGAACATCTTTTAAACTCGCTGTGCAAATTCCACCCATCACGAAGAAAACGCCACATCTACGCGCTACGATGAGGAGCCCGGCTGTCAGAACATCTGTCGCTGATAAACGAGTGCATATTTTAGAGCTAAGTGCAAACAAATTGCTTTTTCGAACTTGTGCATTAAAATCTCGAGTTTTTGGCGGTTTATACGTTTCTTTAAGCAGCAATAACTTTGTAGTAAAATATCTAACAGAAAATCTCATTATAATGCTAAAATTGAACCCACAGTTTTGACGGCCAGTGATATAGCTTTGACACAATAACATAACTTTTTCTTAGTGGCACAGTCTTCTAGAACATCAGCTTATCTTCGCTCCATCTGCGTCGAAGGGAGCCGGTGGCGAGTCGATGGCGACGGCGGCGGCTGAGTGGCAGGAAGAGATGGACAGAAATCATCCCCCGCCATCAGGCACTTTGATCCCCGTGGTCCCCAGAGTGAAAGTCGTCTGAAAGCTGAGCAGAGCTGGCGTCGCGTTTCCGCTCTCGGCCTCTGACGCGGCTCCGACGTGGTTTGAGGTTGCCGTTCAGGCGTCAGAAATGCAGTTCTGGATTTTGTCCATCCACACCTGAGCGCTGGAAGCGTCGGACGCGCAGAAGTTGTAAACTCTCTTACTTGTTTTTAGCTGGAAGAGAAAACAAGTTAGACGTGATTTGAAAAAGTTTCTTTGGGGATAAATATTTCAGTTTACATACAAATTGTTGTCTAAATGCTGCAAATTCATAATAAAAAAAACCATCCCGTCTGGAACATTCTCCAGCAACCTCGGTGTTTATCAGGAGAGAGACGGCGGTGCATAAAAAGGGAATATCTCAAAGGGAACACCGATGAGTTGCCTTCATCTGCCTCTAAGGACGAGTTTCGAGAGGCTCAGAGACTCACGGGGGACAATGTAGCATGCTAACATGTGCTAGCATTGTGTGAATCTTCTACAAGTCTTGTTGAGAGTGTAATCTCTTCAGCCATCGTCTGTTGGGGTAGCAGCATCAGAAGCAGGGACCTGAAAAGGCTCAACAGCCTAATAAAAAAGGCTGGTTCTGTTCTGGGGACGACTGTGGAACCACTGGAGGAGATCATGCAAAGAAGGATTCTCCAGAGAATCAAGAAAATGATGGACAACCCTGAGCATTCTCTTCACAAGACTGTCTGACAACGGAAGAGTGTCTTCAGTAAGGGGCTTCTTCAGTTTCGCTGCAACACTGACCGCTACTGGAGATCCTTCCTGCCAACAGCCATTGTAATATACAATAACTCTTTGATGACTTTATTATTATTATTATTCTGAGCTACTACAGCAATCAATTTCCCTCTGGGATTAATAAAGTATTTTTTTAATTATTTATTCCATTTATTATTAAAATAAAAAAAAAACAATACTAACAATAAAATGAGGTATCTCAATTCAAGAAAATGAAAAGGGAACAGAAAGAAGAAAACTTATGTTATCTGCCCCTTTTTAACTAAAATGACATTTATACACTGAAATAACAATAATTATAAAATAGCCTACACAAAGTAATTGCCTGACTGGTTAGCTAACTAGAGTTCGATTTGTAAATAAAAAATAAAAAATTAATAGTAATAATAATAATTCAAAAAGCAAAAGGATTTTTGCACATATACCTATTCATACATGTATACATTAAAGTGCATCGCATGCCCACTTGGTCACACATACTTCATATATACATATACATATACATATATACACACGTATCCACTACATATACACATAAACAAACATACATACATATTTATACATACACACATCTTCTATAGCTTTATTATTTATTTATTTTTTATATATAATTGATTTGCACGTATTTGATTCCAGTATTTCATTTTTAATTATTTTTTTGAAAGCGAATATCGTTTTCGCATCCTCGATTACATTACCTATCTTATTCCATATTTTAACTCCATATATAGAGACAGAGCACTCCTTTATAATTATTCTATGCTTAGGTATTGTAAATAATTCATGCCCTTTTAGTTCATATTTACTGTCTTTTTATAAATCTTCTAAGTAAATTTTTAGGAAGGTTTTTTTGTTTGCATTATAAATAAATTTAGAAATATTGTGGTCCACTAGGTCATAGAATTTTAATGTTTTTGTTTTTATGAATAATGGGTTAGATGGATCTCTGTAATTACTCCTTGTAATGATTCTTGTTGCTTTTTTTTGCAATATATAGAGTTTGTATAAGTTTTATATGTTGTGCCCCAGATTTCTATACAATAGTTCAAATATGGTGCAATAAGTGAATTATATAATGAATATAGGGAGCTATCATCCAGTGACCATTTTACTCTATGTAACATTGCAATTGTTTTAATTATTTTAGTTTTCACATTGTTTACATGTGGCTTCCAAGATACATTTTCATCGATTATAACTCCCAAAAATGTTACTTCTTTTACTCTTGTAATATTAATATCATCTATTTTTAATAGACTTGTATCATTTGAGTTACTTTTACTAAATATCATGAAACCTGATTTATCAGTGTTTAATGAGAGTTTATTCCCATCAAGCCATAATTAATTTTTTTTAATCTCAGTTTGTACTGTTTCTACCATCTGTTTGATATTATCTCCTGCATAATAAAAGGCAGTGTCATCTGCAAATAGAATACATTTTAATATATTTAATTTAGAGGCAATATCATTTTTGAATTGAATTGAATTGAATGACAAAAGGGGTTGGCATTCTTTTTCAAAAAGAACTCTCAGCAGATAAAAGGGTCACAAGATGGTTTTCAGTTGATCATATCATCATAATAAATGAGTCGTTTAATGCCTGCTTTACTGCTTTATTCTGGCACCCATCTGGCGGTGTCCAAATCCAAGGATTGCATCCTTCTGATACGCATTTTAAGGCTCATTACATTATGATAAATGACCCACACTTGTATAGCGCCTCTCAGAGTAAGGACTCCAAAGCGCTTTACACTACAGTGTATATTAGAGTGAAGCAACAAGGCAGTCCAAATTTGAAGGATCTTCAAAATGCATCCTTGTTTTTTCCTGAATTTGGAGGACGAGCCCGGTGTATCCTCACTGGGAAAAATGATACCAGGACTCATTGTGGTCCAAACGGGAGATTTTAGTTTTTGTGGTAATGATGGACAAAGCAGGAGAGGATTGCATTTTTAAATGTTAGCTTATTAACATAAAAAAAAACATACAGCGGTTGTATTTTTAGGCTTTTTTATGTTCACATTTTTGTTTTTTTAAATACAGTTCTTGTCAAAAATAAGAAAAATATTTGTGAACCAGCTAGTACGACGGGTCCTGTATTTCTTCACGTATTTAGTTTAGCTTTAACTTTTCTTTAGCGCCGACACAATTGATAGGTGACGAGACATAAGGGCGGGAATAAATATGATTATGTCTAGACCGCCTAAATTCACAGCCTCTCACTTCCTGTCTTAGCAGTCGAGGAAGGACCCGACCTGCATGATAGGACTTGTCCTCACAAGAATACTACCCTTGGATTTGGACACAGCTAGAGCTTCAGCATCAACCACTTCACCAAATCCCTGGTAATAATTTATTGATGTTAAAGAGGTCCTTCACTTTGCAGTGGTCACTTTGAGTAGGAATCAATGCATTGTAAGTCGTACTCTGGGGGAAAAAAGCTCTGGTGCTCCTGCTGCAGCACGGAGAATTCAGCCAGAGGAGAAAGTTTTAGATGACAAGATCACCTCATTGGCTAACAGCAACGTGACTATGCTTTGCAACGCTGATGTTTTATCTACACAAACAACACAGGTCTGGAGGAGTTCTGCCGTGTGGTGGCGTTGCTAATGCTAACAGTTAGCTTCTACTAGCAGAGACGCTCTCTGCCGTTTCCTGGACACTAAACCAACAATAATGTTCCCCGTCGTGAGTCTAGATGGGTGAGTCCATGAATGTTATGTGACAGTGTGACGTAGATCTGTCAGGATTTTCAAATCCAAGAGTTTCAAACGTCTGTTCTCTATCTGGAGCTAACGCAGGAGATAGGTGTAGGAGACTGCTTTCATGCTCAGCCTGCATGAAAAGGTCAGAGTGACCAATCATTTTCAAAAATAATAAGACATTTTTTTCTCAGTGAAGGACCTATTCACATCTTTGCTCTAGCATCCATTTAATAGACTGATGTGTTAAATAAAATCTCACCTGATGGTGGTTGAATCTCGTTAGTCGTGTTTCCATTGTTGGAACATCAGGGTATATTCACCAGAACCTCCTGGCACGCGTGTCTCCACTTCACCGAGTCGGCCAAACGGGCCACTTTCAAGAACTTTCGGAGTACCTGATCGGGGGTCGGTACTCGGAATGACCCGGCTGCGTAGCTGAGCGGAACGTTTGGTTAACTCATGCTCATTGGTTGTAACTCGGTAGGAAATTACATCAGCAGATGCCGTCTAAAACACGCTGCATTAGAAGAGTTGGTTGTGAAGCAGAACAAAAAATCGCGCTGCTTTAAATTTGCCGTTACTGAACTCCCAACACCAAAAAACACGCCGGAATTCTCCCACAGCAACAACGTGATTCACAGAATTGTGTTGTCTCACAGAGCGCCATAAAAAAACGGGCTTCTCCGGGTTATTGCGATCCACATTTTACACCATGCAGCTGCTCTCGCCCTCCAAATGGGATAAAAGATGCTGAACTTCAACAGAACAAAAAAAAAAGACGTTATTAATGTTAATGTGGACGTTTTTTTGCAGTGGCGTGTCCAGATCTTTTAAAATGGGGTGGCCCAGGTGAGGCACAACTTTGTGCATGGGTGGCACCAATGGTTTTGCTTTTTTTTGTTTTACCCCCAAGCCTTTTGTGGACAATGAAAAGCCTATTTAAAGGAAAATTTGTGTGGTGGCACCTGGGGTGGCCAATCAGATTCCAAGGGTGGCATGTGCTACCCCAGGCCACTCCCTGGACACGCCCCTGGTTTTTTGGTGCTGATCTGTGACATCACTGCCCGTTGAAGCAGTCGCAATATGCTGGCCTCTGTGCAAAGTCCTGGAAGGATTGAATTTGAAAGGAGACACAACAGCTGAGAAGACCCGGACATCAAATCTCCCGCCCGATTTCCCCCTTGGAGAATTTACCCTGAAGTTCCGACAGTGGAAACACGCCTACACTGTCAACCAATGTCAGCGTTTTCTTCCTGCGTGTGGATGAGGTCATTCGGAACAGCCTTTTGTTTTTTTTAAATCGCGCTGCCACATTGTTGTTATTTACCAAAGAGGGTTCGAGAGCCGATATCCGACAGACCGTTGTGATTGGTGGATGGATTACAGAATGGATTTGTTCATTAACGAAGCCATTTTTTCAGGAGCTAGTAGACACACAACAGCTAGGGGAAATCTCATCAGACTCACATCAAAGAAAGCCTTTTCGTTGATGTGTTTGGGCGCTCCGATGGTTGGCGTGGCGATTGTGACGGACTCCACGTAAGCCAAATCGATGTGGCCTCTGCAGTTTGTGTCCTCGCCGGTGTCGTAGTACCTCAGCTGTGAAAACATGACAGTTAACCCGCCTGTCCTCCAGCCTAAAGGTCGAGCGTTTTCTCGGGCCTGAATGGGCTCACCTGGTGTTTCGTGACGTCCAACACAAACCAGCGGGGTTTCCAACCTTTCAGCAGAGCTCCACGTTTGTAAAGGATCCCCTCGTAGGACCTGGAGAAAAACAGAATGACGTCCACAACCCAAAAGCGTTAAAGGTTCTCGTTCGCTCATCAGATCTGGTGGAGCTGGTCTGGCAGAAGCTCATTTGGAATTAGAAAAATGAGGAACACATGCATAAAAAAATCCTCCCAAATGCTTCAACAATAAGTCGTTTTTAATGACTGTTTGTTGAGTCCAGGAGAAACGAGCCAAGAGCCTGTACTTTAACCTCGCTGTAATTGGAAAATTACACACCCAGATTGTGACAGAGCACATAATATTCTCCTGAATGCTGATGCGCTGAGTCATCTTCCATATCTGGACCGGACCCTCCGCAGCAGCCAAATGTGCTCTTCCTATTTGTTCCGGAGCTCAGGAAGTTCACGACCCACCTGTTCTCCTCATTCTTGGGGGTGAACTGGTTGTAAAGCGTCGCAGCGCGGCGGTTAATCCCGTTGGATGTGGCTGTGCTGTGGTCTTCGCCCAGTCCGCTGTCCGGCAGGTGCAGCATGGAGCGCCGCTGGAAGGCCTGCAGGCTGGATGTGGGAATGAGGCCTGAGATGGACAGGGACTGCTTACGGAGCTGCAGACACATCAAAGGATCAGAATAAAAACCTAGACGAGGATAAAGCCTTCCATATTTTCCTCTAACACACACATTCCCTTCCTGCTTCAGATCTTCCTGTATGGTGAGTCGGACTCTTTCCAGAGTTGTTGTCCATTTCTCGGGGGTCTGGTTCAGCTCGCTTTCCAACCTCTCGATATCCTGAAGCACCAGTAAGACAGAAACAAATCACAAAAACTGACAAGAGAAGCGTCTGTGAAGAGAATCAAAACTCTTACAGAGAGAAGTTTGGTGATGGCGTCCAGCTGGGCGTCGCTCACGCTGCTGTAACACGGCCAAACGATCCTCCTCTTACTGTTGGAGGCGGCATCCGCCTCCTCTGTGCTCTCCGACCTCACAGCCATCATCCTGAAGTCGTAGCACGGCCCCGAGGACAGAGTCTCATCAGTAAGGTAGTCCCACGTACTCAGGCTGGGGATCCCGACACAAGGCTTCAGGACCGGCTGCAAAAAAAAAAAAAAAAAAAAAAAAAAAACAGCACATGAAAAATGACAGAATGACTGAATAATATTTCCTTCATATAAAAACTCTGTAAAAGCATCTAATTTCTCCTCCATAATTAATTAAATGAGGATTAACACCAACTCAGGATTTAAAGGGATCTATCCAGCCATCCATCCATTTTCATCCGCGTATCCGGAGTCGGGTCGCCCAGACTTCCCTCTCCCCAGCCACTTGGGCCAGCTCCTCCGGGGGAATCCCAAGGCGTTCCCTGGCCAGCTGAGAGATATTGTCCCTCCACCGTGTCCTGGGTCTACCTTTAGGTCTCCTCCCGGTTAGACGTGCCTGGAAAACCTCACCAGGGAGCCATCCAGGTGGCATCCTGACCAGATACCCGAGCCACCTCAACTGGCACCTCTCGATGTGGAGGAACAGCGGCTCTACTCCGAGCCCTTCCCAGATGACCGAGCTTCTCACCCTATCTCTAAGGGAGAGCCCATGCAGCCACTCTTCAGAGAAAACTCATTTCGGCCGCTTGTATCCGCGATCTCGTTCTTTCGGTCACCACCCAAAGCTCATGACCTTAGGTGAGTGTAGGAACGTAGATCGACCGGTAAATCGAGAGCTTCGCCTTCTGACTCAGCTCTCTTCACCACGACAGACCGGTACAACGCCCGCATCACTGCAGATGCAGCACCAATCCGCCTATCGATCTCACGCTCCAGTTTTCCCTCACTCAAGAACAAGACCCCGAGATACTTAAACTCCTCCACTTGGGGCAGGACCGCATCCCTGACCCGGAGAAGGCATTCTACCCTTATCCGAATCAAGCTCATGGTCTCAGATTTAGAGGAGCTGCTTCTCATCCCAGCTGCTTCACACTCGGCTGCGAACCGCTCCAGCAAAAGCTGAAGATCACATTCTGATGAAGCCAACAGGACCACATCATCTGCAAAAAGCAGAGACCTGATCCTCAGGCCACCAAAACGGATGCCCTCAACACCTTGGCTGTGCCTAGAAATCCTGTTCATAAAGGTTATGAACAGAATCGGTGACAAAGGGCAGCCTTGGCGGAGTCCAACTCTCACTGGGAATGAGACCAACTTACTGCCGGCAATGCGGACCAAGCTCTGACACCGGTCATACAGGGACCTAACAGCCCGTATCAGAGGGCCTGGTACCCCATACTCCCGGAGTACCCCCCACAGGGCCCCCGAGGGACACGGTCAAGCGCCTTCTCCAAATCCACAAAACACATGTAGACTGGTTGCAGGGATACTATGCAAATTTGGCTTGCTTTTAGCACCCCCTAGTGTCCGTTAATGGAAGCAAAAATGAAACTTATCTCCTTGCTGTGCGTTCGTCTTTTTAATTAATCTAACAGCTGAAATGTCTCCTCAGCCTTCATTAGTGTTTAGAGGAGCAAGACACTAATCAAACAAATCAAACAAATCAGCTGTGTTCACGATCTAAAACATGCAGGAAGAAGACTGCAGCACCACCTATGTCAGCTCCACTTTCCTAAGTCCCACAGGGACCGCACCGGCACTCTGAAGTTACAAATGCGGTATTCTGACCACAGGGGCGGTGGGGTCTGGGTGACATTTCATTAACCCTGTAAAGGGTCATTTTAGCACATACTGGCTCAAGAAAATGATTATAAATATGAAAAAATTGCTTAGCATCCCTTTAATTCTGTCTAATCTGGCTGGTGAACACACTAACTGATCAGGCAGGGTTGCTCTTTTGAATGTGTAAAATAAAAAAGCTCGTCTTATTTTGGAAACATACAGGAGGTAGGTTCTTTAGTTTGAGGCAATTGGATGACAGTAAACTAAAGCAGCCTCATCTAAATGATCCTTTTCATGCGTGTCTGTGCTACTCTTGGTATCTTTTCTGCAGGAATTGTTCATTTTATTCTAATTTAGAAAAAGTAGTTGGTGATGAACTGCAGAAGCAAACAGAAAAACTCATAAAATGTTCAAATTCTTATTGTGTGTGTGTGTGTGTGCATCAGAATCAGTAAACCCTGATCTTTAATGTTCTACAACAACTGTATTTTCTGACGACAGTGCAGGAACGGCCTGCAGGGTGGTACGGCTGGCAGCCCTGAAGGTCACGGGTTCAACTCCTGGCTTAAGCGGCCTTTCTGGATGGAGTTAGCGTGTTCTCATGCACGTGTGAGATTAGTCCAGGTCTCCGGTGTCCTCCCACAGGCCAACCACATGCTTGTTAGGTTAGTTAGACTCTAAATTGTCCCTCTGGGTGTGTCCCATGCTTCTCGCCCACCAGCCCTTCCTGACCCAATCAGCGCTGCACAGGATGACTCACTTCGCTCTCTGAGGGGCTGAACAGGTAGTTGAAGAAGATGGGACTCCTCTGGTGCATCCTGTTGATGCAGTCCCAGATGCAGATGCCTCTCCGTGCTTGCTTATCACCCTTATCCTCAAACAGCAGGCCTGCACATTAAAAAAAAACACATTAAATTACTAAAATGCATCAAAACACTCAAAGGTGGAGGCTGATCAACACAGAACGTTTAGCAGACGCGGGATAAAAGAAACACCCCGGACCTCGTATTTTTGAGGCTTCTGCCTGGTTTCCATGACGACGCATGAACGTAAACGCTCCTGTGAGCAAAACCCCACAGACGGATAAAGATGAAGGATAGCTCTCAATTTAATTCATAATAAAATAAAAAGATAAAATGATTTATTCATATTTAACACCTTTTCTGGTCTAAAGAACATAACAATCCCCCCCCCCCCCCGTGGTTTCAACTGAGGGGCACCCTCACCGTGTTCCAGGCGCTCATAGTCGGAGTCCAACAAGAAGTTCTTGAAGCGGTTGGAGATGTGGTGAAAAGCCAGGAACTTCAGATAATACTGATTAAACTCAAACTCCAGAGGATATTGCTCAGAAATCTGCAAGGACATAAAAGCACAGATTAAGACGGTGTGTGTGAGTGTGTGTCACTTCTCATTTCTCCAGTGAATAAATGACAGGACAGCGTGTCTCTTGTCCCTGTGGGGGCAGAGGTCAGTGATATCAGACACGATCCAGACTAAACCAGATCCACCACAGCTCCACTGTTCCCATCCAGCGGTGTGAAGTGGCCAACGAGAGTGCTGAACATCCGAGGCCACCTGGCTCTGCTGGCAAAAACAACAGCTGTTTGGGAGATGAGGCATTTCTATTTTCAGCTCTTGTCCGAATCTCTTCTTTCCTCCCTGTTTATAATTCTCTACACCCCCGAATTCACGCCAACCCGCCCCAGCTGCCAAATCTGCAGTTTCAAAAGACAAATGCAGAAAGTATTTGTTGAAGTCAGTGGATGGGAGTGGGTCTGCAGGACCCCGGGGGACACGAAAAACTCCACAGCGTTCTCCTAATTTAGCATTTCAGGGTGGACACAGCTAGCTCTCTGGGTGTCCAGCTGTGAGAGCTTCATTCTTAACTTCACTGTCGCCACCCCCCTGCCTTGAACGCTCAAACCTGCCTCCCCCTTTTTCCTCCCTTTGACCTCCAGAGCTGCAGTTTTCCACGTGCGGCTCCAAACACGCACCGAAAAGCGAATTGTGAATGCTGAAACACGCGAGCACAGACACGATCACAGAGCATCTGGACAGCAGCTCACGTCTAGGCGCCGTTAGCGCGGAGAGGCGTTTAACCAAACCATCACATAATCAACGACAGCCGAGTTCCCCAACTTCTTCACTCACAAGCCCAGTCACTGTTGAGGAATGTCATGAGCTCATTCAAAAGTTATGAATGAAGTTAAAAGTCGAGAAGGGACATCGAGAGCCGAGTCACGTAGGAGGTGCGATTGGGGGCGGAGCTTACTTGATGCACGCAGTCCAGAAACTGCAGGAAGATGGGTGTGAAGCCACTGCCCTGGCTGCTGGGACTCAGGTTGCTCCGCTGGCTGAATTTGTGGCCGAAGGAGAGCCACTCTTTCTCCAGGAGCACCTGAAAACCTTCCAGGGTGCGGTAGAAAGAGTCGCTCAGCAACTGCACCAGAGACACCACCTGAAGGGTGGAAACAAAAACCTCATGAGGACCAAACCAGCACTGAAAAATAACCACAATGTAAATAAAGATCACCTGCTTATGGTTACGTTCTCAAAAATCCCACAGAGCCACATCATATGTGACTTTTATTTGACGCAGCAATCACTGCAAAAACAACTAAGTCCTATCCTTTAGGAGGGAACACAACAGGACTGACTCCGGAAAAACAACCCCAAATTTGTTTTGCATTACATTTCTGGAATGTGTACATCTCTTGTGGAGTGAGCCCTAAAGTTTTGTGTTCACGCTAGATTTCCAGATGTGGCGACCTAATAAAAGAAATCATAAAAAACACGTGCCTGACATTTTATGGCAATGAAGTAATTTAAACTTTGACATGAAGTTGACATTCTTTCAGGCTGAGGTGAGTTTTAAAATCGCAAATATTTTCTGTAAAACTATTAAATGTCATTCGTTTAAACTACCATAGACATTTACTGTCTTTCTTCGGCGGGTGGAATAAATTATAGCGGAGAACCTATGAAACACGAACACAAGTCTCTGTACCCTTACACATGTCTGTTTGTTTTTAGTTTAGAAAAACTTAAATGATTCAGAAATCTCCTGGTCCCAGACCATCACACTGCCACCACAACGTCTGACTCTTTTGGGGAAGTGAATCTTCAGCTTTAGCCTCATCAATCTAAACAATATTTTCCCAAATGTCAAAGAAATCCTCAAAATGTTCCTTTTGCGCTTGGATTTAGGTAGAACTTCCTAAAATTGTCAGCCAAGGGTGATAAGGAAATATCGAGACACAAAAATAAATAAATAAAATTGCAATATTTCATGCTATTACACTGAATCGATACTTAAAGAGCAAGTCACCCCCTACCAGAGTATTACTCCACTCCAACTTCCTGTTTGAAAAATGCAAATGTTGTTGCCTAGCAGATCAAGAGGGTGGAGCCGCTAACAAATACACACACACACACACAGGCTCACAATGACGTTGTGACATCATATGGTACCAGCTAACGTTCTAGGGTACCTCTTAGCCAATAGCGATGGCAGATTTAAATTCACATGCAGTGCAGAGTTTTTACCTGACAACGGCACAACACTGACAGTTTTAGGCAGAAAATACAAATTTTAACTAAAATGCACTGAAGTGCAAAACTATTGACTACACGTGTCTGCAGCACGATTAGACACACATTTATATAGTTTATCAGCAAAATCAAGTTGATTTGGGGGTGACTTGCTCTTTAAAAGCAGTGCATCAATTTTTATTGAGAACTTACATGCAAACATCTACTGTATTTCTTGGTAACACTTTACAATAAGGTCCCTTTATTAACATTACTTAGTTTATTATTAAGCATTAATAAACTACTAAAGTATTAACAACTGCTAACCATAGGGTTAAGGCTTAACCCTAACCTTTTTGTCCCAACCTTAAGGACACTTTTAAAACTTTAAATAAAATAAAGGTCTATGGTGAAGAAAATAAGAATAAAATAAAATATTATTATGCAAAAAGCCAATGTCCACATTTGTGGACAGGGTCTCAGGAGGTTCAAATGACCTAAAATCGGCTTTTAGAGTTGTAATATATCAAATATATCGTGATATATATGACATCACCAAATTCCTGCAGAAACACACCCCATCAGAGTTTTATTAAAGTGATTTTTGTCGTCCTAAAGGTCAGACAGAAATCAAACCTTGGCGCGGTTGTTAAACCTAAACTTAGCTTTCAAATAAAGTGGCTAATCACAGCTGATTCAGAAACATTGTGACAAGTTGTCAGCATGTCAGCTACATTTTTACTAACTAACAGGTGGCGACCCACCAGTCTGCAGTTGCAAGTGTGGCATTCTGACCACAGAGGGGGGTGGGGCTCTGAGTGACTTTTCATTAACTTTGTAAAGGGTCGTTTTAGCACATATGGCTCAAGAAAAATTCTTTAAAAATATGAAAAAGCTGCATAGTTTGGCTTTAAAGGGGCCAAACCAATAATTTTGGACTGTCACCTGCTGTTAGTTGCATTTATTTAATAAAGCTGTAAAGTCTTTAGGCACCCCGGCAGAGAGCTACCTGTCTATACAAGTTTTTCTGCTGCGGCCCACTTCGACATAACTAATGAGTCCTGTCGTGTGGAATGAGCAGGAAAAACAGTTCATGCCTTCCTCGAGAGGTTTACAAGAACTTCCAGCCCCAAGTGAGAGCCTGGGCAATAAATAAGCCCCCCTGTCCACAGCAGGCTGAAAAGTGGGCGTAAAAACAAAGCATGGAAGTGTGTATGACTGGAGCTGAGGATGAAACAGAAAAACAGCACGTAGAACGAAAGCAAAGACAGTTCTGCTTCCTGTCTGCTGGGTGTCGATGGGCCGTGAACCGAGCATATGGAACCCATTTGTCAGAGCGGGCTGATCTGGACTGAGCCTGTTGGAGCCGGTGGCCCACGGAGGAAGATGCTCAGGGCTGAACACGTGCCCTGCATGAAGGGGTCCATAAAGTGGGCTCTTTAAACAGCAGCCCA